TATACCCTACACTGATGTTTTTTAAGGTCAAGTGCCATTGCCCGGTATATATTTGCCCGATACTCCAAACACTGATGTTTCTTCTAATCTATCGTCAGTAAGTATTAAAAAATCGAATATATGTAATCTATCGTCAGTAAGTATTAAAATATTAAATAAATATAAATATATCCACGAAGAAATTAATATCAAATCGGATGACGTTTTGAATTTGTCATTTTTGAATGACATTTTGACGAATCGGAGATGTATTTTATACTTTTGGCATTCTATAAAATGGCTAGAAAATGTGTGAAATTTAAATCATTTTATACTTTGTCTTCCAATTTTAGGCATTCTATACAATGCCGGTAACATATATACATTAAAGGTCATTAAAATATACTTAAACTAGAAAAAAATAATAATAAGGTGTTGAAACGTAAAAAATCATTGCTGAGGAAAGCGAATTAAAAACATCAAAACCTATTTAATATCTGGATGAAGCTTGAAGCCTTATAATAATCGCCTTTTCAACTCCTCTCTGTTCCTCTGGCAATCAAACATGCTTTGGTGGCTGTGATTGAGGGCTATAATTTGCAGAACAGCCGGTGATTATGAAAATGTAATAAGCGTTTCTTTTAAAAATTAAAATCAATTTCATTATTTTTCATTACAATTTGAAAAGAGACGATATGACTTAGTGAATTGAGACTGATTTGTGGGTTAGTGTTAGTGTCTCGTTGCATTCAGGGTAACCGAGGATGGTTTTTGTGCTTTTCCTCTTAATTTAATGCAGATAGAAGAACATTTCATTGAAGAAAAATACTGCAAGAAGACGTAGCTGTCCCATTGCTTGATCTAGACGTACCTTTGTCTTCTAGGTTCGATTTAAAATTACAAGTAATAAGGAATTAAACTTCGATAGCCTCAAAAAAAAAAAAAACCTCGATTGCTTAACACCAATGAGAAAATTAAATAAAAAATTTAAACTTTTAGAACATTGAAATTTTTTTTAAAGGAAGTAATGAATTATTTTTAAATTAAAAATGAATATTTTATTATTATTGATTAAAAGTTCAGCAAAANCAAAAAAAAAAAAAACCTCGATTGCTTAACACCAATGAGAAAATTAAATAAAAAAATTTAACTTTTAGAACATTGAAATTTTTTTTAAAGGAAGTAATGAATTATTTTTAAATTAAAAATGAATATTTTATTATTATTGATTAAAAGTTCAGCAAAATATGAACATTTAAGATAATAATTTCATGCTATCGATGCGTATTGTTGAAAGAAGAAAACATTTTTTTCCTTATAATTTGATAGACCAGATTCCTCATAATTTAATCAGAAAGATCTTGACTTATACTAAATTTCGTGATATACTAAAAAAATTTGAATGAGAATGACTCAATTTCAAATTCTCCTTTCTGGATCATAAAATAATATATTAAACTAAAAAAATTTCAAATACTCTCAACAAAATTTTATAAAGATTTTGTTGAGTTGAAATAGTGCAGTTGAAATATTTACGACACAAACATTAAAAAAAATTATTTTTAAGAATTTTGTGTATAAAAATTAATTACCGATTGCATCATAGTCTGAGGAGCTATTATTTCTTAATAAATCACTTGGCTCAAATGATTGATTACTGGATACCCAATGAACAATTTGAATTTCAAGATATTTTACTTTGAGCTCCTATATACAAGCAATGCCATTTAATTTTATAAAGTTCCGANTTGGACCAAGTTCTTGGATGTTTGTTTACACGATCAAAGCTCAAAGCAAAACAAGTTTCCATCAATATCAATCAATCTCTGTCCAAGAAATTGGATCGTCTAAACAGGCCTATAGTCTGAGGAGCTATTATTTCTTAATAAATCACTTGGCTCAAATGATTGATTACTGGATATCCAATGAACAATTTGAATTTTAAGATATTTTACTTTGAGCTCCTATATACAAGCAATGCCATTTAATTTTATAAAACCTTCTAGCAGGCATCTAAAACTGGCTCACAACACAATCTAAGGTTTAATTGTTCAGTAAATTGTTGGTAAATTTGGCGAAAAGTAGTTCCGATTTGCAGGTTTTGAAAAACAATTTTGTGATTCGAGATACTAGCTAAGAAGATAAAGCTGATTTGTAGTTGTAGTTCATTTACGTCGAACTAGAGCTGCACAATAGGCTATAGGCGACGGTCTGGGAAGCATCCCTGAGGATGATCCGAAGACATGCCATCACAATTTTGATCCTCTGCAGAGGGGATGGCACCCCGCTTCGGTAGCCCGATGAGCACACGAAGTCGAGCACTTTACGGTGTAGAACAGTTTAACGAGGAGGCATACCGCACACCCTCGGTCTCTACGCAGACTGAACCAAGTGTTCACCCACCAGCACACTGACCGCAGCCAGTGATGCTTGACTTCATTGATCTGTTGGGAATCGTGTCTTAACGATCAGTCCACTGCGGGAGGAAGATAAAGCGGAGAAGATGAATCTCAAAGATAGTATCCGATGAAATATACGATTAAACTACGTAAGTATAATTAATTAATCGTTACTGCATCTTTTTGTAAATCTTACTACTGATGTAGTGTCATTTAATATATTGGTTACTTGTCGAATAAATTTTAGCTTGATATGAATTATCTGACGACCACAGATATTTTTATGAAAATCAAAATACCGATAAACTTAACATTAGAGGTGGATAGCCCTTTCTTAAGCAGAATTGAATTTTCAGCCCGGAAATAGTCAAAATGTTGATGATTCATCGCAAGAACGATTTGCTAAACATATGATTTATGTGTCTTATGCAGCTCAAAAATCGTCAAAACCTGGATATGAAAAAAAAGTGACAAACCAAGTGGCTAACTGTTAAAAAGCATTTTCATCTTAGTAAGTGGTAAATATGTAGTTGCACGACTTTGCTCTTATTAGGGTTTTCTTGAGAGGGGGTTCTGTTGTTTTCTCGGTATTTTTTACGTGAAACGAATGAGACCAAGTTCGAGAAAATAGGATTAATATTTCAAAAGTTAAAAGGGTTATATATTCAAAAGGTATAATGCTTGACTTGTATATACTTACGTATCTCACATTCTGTAGACAAATGAAGCATTGCTTTCTATACTTTTTTTTTACGCTGAATCAAATGAAATCAAACACGTGAAAATAAGACTAACAGTTCATAGTTCATTTTTTTATCTATAAAAAGTACTATTTACAGATAAATGTGGATGAATAGTGACGAAAACGATGAATGGATAGGAAAAATAGAACAATGAGCAGAATTCGCATCAACCAGCCATCGTTGGGATTCGAACCCGGTTCACCTCATTCGAAGGCGAACGCTCTATCCCCTGAGCCACAACGGCTTCAATAAGTTCTTTTGATATGTTTCTTCCTGTATCTGATTTCCCTCCATGCATGTGCACATTTCTTTGGATCCTCCGAAGGGATGTTTCCCAGACCGTCTCCAATACTCCATTGTGCAACTCTAGTGCAACGTAAATGAAATGCCTACCTACTATGTGAGTGAGAATTTTTAGAAATTACACGTAAGAAGAGCTCGCACAAGCGTAAATTGAAAGCCCTTCGTGCGATTGTCTCCCGTTGTCCTAGATACTCGTGCGAATGTTTAGAAACTACATGTAAGACGAAGTGCTTGCGCATCATCGAATCGCATTTACATTCGAGTGCATAAGTAAATCGCATGCAGTGAGAACGCTCCGCTACGAGCAATATTCTGGAAATCAAGGATCTTATTCGCATAAATTGATTGGCATGCAGTCAGAACTGGAATTCTTTTTCAATTCAATACCCTCTTAATTTTTTTCCTACGCGCAGGCATGCAGTGGGAAGGACCAAATATACGCACTTGCGGGGACAACATTCGTGTCAGGGAAGAACACTTTGTGAAACCATGAAATTTCATTGTCTTATTTACGGAAAAATCAAACTAATTACACTCATTTAATCATGTTGGTTAAAAAGATGTTGCAGTTTCAATTGTTTTCTTTTGAACATACAAACAAATATAATTAGGATTTTAATGATGTCGGGAACGTTCACGCTGTATGTGAAGACTTCGCCTAAGCGAATTTGATTGGTGAACTATATTCACTCGAGAAATACTCATCAATCGGGTTCTTTTTTCGTCTTCCGGTGATTGGAAATGCGTAAACCGCATTTAGTAAGACTGACTCTTGACTCCGGGAGAATTCTCCATACATATACTTCTTGGTGAAATGAAAAGCTGGATTGGTGGTTTTCAGGATAAAATTTCATCAATCGGGCTTGCCAATCAGGTTCTCATAAGTGCATGAACCGCATGAAGTGAGAATTGCTTTTCTGTATCAACGGATGTTAGTTGTTCAGAAGGGAAAAAGCGCTATTTCGTAATTCAAAGAATACATATTATTATAATTAAGAATTGAGAAAGGGATCCTTTCCCTAAAATGAAAACAAAAAGTAAAACTATTTTGAGCTACATTGCAAACTTCAAAAGTCTTAACGACATATTAATTATTTTTCGGTTTGGCAACGTTACGATGCAAATTTGTAAACAAAAAATTGCAAAAAGAGTGTCAAAAGCGTCTTTTAAGTATAATTTTTATTATGGCTACAAAAGCTAAATCAGAGTCTATGGTACCGCCTGAGGAGACAGATTTATTGGTCATTAAACCTTTGGGTGCTGGACAAGAAGTGGGTAGATCATGTATTATTTTAGATTTCAAGGGGAAAAAAATAATGTTAGATTGCGGAATTCACCCCGGCTTATCCGGCATCGATGCTTTACCCTTTGTGGACAACATTGATGCTGATGAAGTTGACTTATTGCTCATTAGTCATTTTCATTTAGATCATTCTGGTGCATTACCGTGGTTTTTACTCAAGACTGCTTTCAAAGGACGATGTTTCATGACACATGCTACCAAAGCTATATACCGGTACCTTTTAGCCGATTATATTAAAGTCAGCAATATTGGTACAGAGCAGATGTTATACACCGAATCTGATCTCGAAGCGAGTATGGAAAAAATTGAAACTATCAATTTTCACGAAGAAAAAGAGGTGAATGGTGTAAGATTTTGGTGTTATAATGCCGGCCACGTTTTAGGTGCTGCTATGTTCATGATTGAAATCGCAGGTGTGAAGGTGCTTTACACTGGTGATTTTTCACGACAAGAAGATCGTCACTTGATGGCTGCCGAAATACCATCTGTTCAACCTGACGTTCTAATTATTGAATCTACATATGGAGTTCATATTCACGAAAAGCGTGATGAAAGAGAAGCCAGATTCACTGGACTTGTTCATGATATTGTGAATCGTGGGGGACGTTGTTTGATTCCTGTTTTTGCTCTAGGAAGAGCGCAAGAATTATTGTTAATATTAGATGAATATTGGTCAAATCATCCTGAATTACACGATATTCCAATATATTATGCATCTTCATTAGCAAAGAAGTGCATGGCTGTATATCAAACTTACATCAATGCCATGAATGATAAAATTAAGAGACAAATTGCAATAAACAACCCTTTTGTCTTCAAACATATATCAAACTTAAAAAGCATAGATCACTTTGACGACATTGGGCCTTGCGTTGTCATGGCTAGCCCAGGTATGATGCAAAGCGGTTTGTCTCGAGAACTATTTGAAAGTTGGTGTACAGATCCGAAAAATGGCACCATCATTGCCGGTTATTGTGTTGAGGGAACGCTTGCAAAACATATATTATCAGAACCGGAAGAAATCACTACAATGTCGGGTCAAAAGCTGCCTTTAAAAATGTCTGTTGATTATATTTCCTTTTCAGCTCATACAGATTATCAGCAAACTAGTGAATTCATTCGTATTCTTAAGCCACCTCACATTGTGCTTGTTCATGGAGAACAAAATGAAATGGCTAGGTTAAAAGCTGCAATCATTCGCGAATACGAGGATGATCCTGATGCCCATATAGAAGTGTATAATCCTAGAAATGCCCAAGGAGTGGAATTGTACTTTAGGGGTGAAAAAACTGCTAAAGTGATGGGATCTTTAGCAATGACAGTTCCCGAAGCAGGTAGTAAAATATCTGGTGTATTGGTGAAAAGGAATTTTAGTTACCACCTCTTAGCTCCATCTGATCTGTTGAAGTATACAGATATGGTTATAAGTACAGTTAGTCAGAGATTAAGTGTACCTTACACTGGCACACTACAAGTACTTCATTATTATTTGCAACAGTTAACTGGTGATGCAAAACTTATTCCAGATTTTAAAAAGTTTGGCGGAAAGCTGATACTTTTGGTGTTTGATGCTATAACGATTTTCCAGGAAGCCAAGGTTGTTGTGTTGGAATGGAATGCTAGTCCAGTCAATGATATGTATGCAGATGCTGTTGTTGCTATTATTTTGAAAGCTGAAAAATCAGACTTAACGGCTAAGACTCTTCCTACAAATATCAAAGTTGATAAAATGCATTTTACGGAATGTCTGATGGAGATGTTAGCCGAAATGTTTGGTGAGGAGTCTGTGAGTAAGATTGTTCGCAGTGATAAGTTGTCTGTTATTGTCAATGATAAATGTGCTGTGGTTAATGTTCGAACTTTAGAGGTAAAATGTGAAGAGGATGAGACTTTGCAACAAATGGTTTCTACAGCTGTTACTAAACTACATAATTGTTTGCTTCCTCAGCGACTAATAATAGATATGCCACCTGACATAGAATAGGTTAAAATATTTGGTTTTAATCTTTTGCATCGCAAGTGATAGTTATAATTTCATATATTTGGTACTTATTGATCATTGTTGTTTTTTGATGATTCTTGCTTTAGTTCCCAATAAGGTAAACCGAGGTTTTCATAATTGCTAACAAAGCTTTAAAAAAATTTTCAAATTAAGAACATTATAAGAAAGTTGGGTGCTTTGCCTAATAGAGATAAAATAATTCAAAAATTATAAATAGCAGACAAATTTTGTTGCCCGGTTTGTAAAATAAGAATAACAATAATTAAATTATGTAAAATATCAATTTAATGAAATGATAGCATAATAAAATAAGAGTTACTACTGCATAATTAACTATAATGTTGCTATAAAATTAAAAAGGTTTGCTGATAACAAAAACAGCTTTTTTATTTTATTGCTTACAGATAAGCTGATAATTCACCTCTTAACCAAACCTTATACTAAGGCCTTTCATATCAAAATTACCAAGAAAATAACTTTCATTGTTGTGTTTTGTTAAGTCTAAAAGAAGGCAATATAAATTATCTATAATTTTAAAAAACACAATTTGAGAGTGGTTGCTAAAACAAGATTTGAGAAAAGTGACTTTTTTTTTAATCTCCAAAAGATTATCCTATCAAGTTTTATGGAAGAAAAGAAGGTATTCGCAGAGATGTAAATAATTTATCCCATTTATTTAATCTTGTGCTACAATTTAAAGTGATGATAGATAGAATTTAACAATTACAGAGATTATGATATCGCTACCTAATTTCTCGTGAAGTTTTGGTGACCACTATATGGCAGTGTATAAAAATTAAAATAAAAAAAAAACTGAAAAAGGGTAAACTTGAAGAGAAAAATGACTATATGTACCAGCATATAGAAAAGGTATCAGCATATATGTTTTTATTGCTAGCGCTGGCTCAAGAGCCTGGCAGTAACTTCTAAACAATTGCAGTTGGCATGAATATAAACTAATAGGTGAATAGCCCCAAATGATCTATAGTTTATATTAAATATGGTATATTTTTCGTAGTTCTGTTTTATACTACAGCTACAGTATAAATGAATGAAACTTAAACTGTGTTTTTTATTATTTAATGTTCATTATTACTTAAAGTGTATTATTTTTGGTTTATATTAAAATGCATAAACTTTTTTTTTGTTACTTTTTTATTCAGAATAATCCTGAAAAGTTGGTGTTCATTTGTCTGATTTATATACACAATAAAAACATACATTACAACTATTTTGAGGGTGTTTCTTTTGTGCCTATATATCATATTCTTATTAGTTTAATCTAAATACCTTTACCTTCACTAAAAACGCATGATTAGTTTTTAATATTATCAGCAATTACTTTGGAAATTATAGTATGACATCAATTATTTTTAACTCTCATAAAAATATAAGTCTTATAGAATTTGCTTCCGATTTCATAGACAATATGATATTGTATTTTTCTTGCACTGATAACAAAATACATTTTTTTTACTGAAAGGGAAAGCCATGCTAAAAATTGCACTTGCAATTCCGAAAAGACAAAAGAAACAATAAAAATTATAGATTTCAAATTTCTTAGCAAAACCAGAGCAATGATTTACAACAAGTAAAATGTACATTCATCCCTCACAATAAATGATCATTTCTATGTGATTATTCATTGTAGTAAAACTATTCCTATTTTTTTAATTATAAGAAAAGTCGTTTGTCTATTATGACAGTTTTTTCTGTGAACATTATTGCAACATAATTAGGGTTCACGCCAATATGGCGACAGTTGTTACCAAATGTCACTGAAATCATAAGTGAAAATGTTTAAAATTTACAAAATAGTAAAGAAATTTTTTTTTTTTTTTGCATCCAATTCTATACATTTAAAAAAACTTTGTTGAACTAATTCTATTGTTTTAGGCATGGTATGGAATTCAAATGTGTGATATTCAAATGAAATAGCTGAAAGTATCTAGTACAAAAATTTTTAAATATAAATGTTGAAATTTGCAATAAACATTTTGTGCTGTGCTTTGCATTCATGTACCTGACAATATAATTGTTCATCAACAAAACAATATTTTTGCTCTTCTAAAATTGACTTATTTAAAATTTTGTAATTTTTAAATAATTAATTATTAATATAATACTTTATTTGTTCTTACTTTCTATGTTTTTCTTTATTTGGTTTCAGCATTTTAATTTCTACATTGAATCGAGTAACATTATTTTAGATTTTTTTTCCACTCAATTTTAGTAAATACTAATCTTTAATCATTATAAGGTAATGAACTTAATTAGATTCAGGGTATAATAGATCACCATGAATAATTTTTTATGGGTACCATAACATGATCTATGTAATTGTAATGTTTTACTTAGTAGTTTCTCAAGTTTGTCTACCATTTTATGTTTTTGGACCACTAAATTTTCATTGCTCATGTGAACCCCAAAGATAATGAATGATAATAAAAATCGTAATAAAATTAATATTTTTTAAAACCACGTTTTTGTAGTGGAGAATAATAATTAAAAAACAAAAATTTGAAAAACGTGGGGCGCATGAAATACATAACAGTAGCAGTATGTGTGTTCATGAGAATATGTGTATGTATATCTGTAATTGTATCTGAATGTGTATGTGGTTGTGCATGTGTATGAGTAAGAAAATGTGTATATGTACTGTTATGTATTTCATGCGCCCCACGTTTTTCCTTTTTCAAATTTTTGTTTTTTAATTATTATTCTCCACTACAAAAACGTGGTTTTTAAAAATATTATTTTTATTATTATTTTTTTATGTACTCCCAAATTCTCAATTTTTTCACTCACTGTACACAAAACTTTTCAACTGAGATGTGACACTAATTTAAAATAATCGAATCGACAACAAAAGACAATCGTGAAAATATTAATTTTTCTTTAATTTTATTTTACTTTGTATGACTTTTTTCTCTTCATTTTCATGCATTGTCATCCAATTCTGAACTATGTGCCAAATTTGAAGTCTGTAGCTAGTCGGGAAGTTAGTTTAAAATCGATTACAAAATTCCACTTGAACAGACATACACGAAGGCAAGTTGATATAAACGTGGTAAAATTAGTAAATATTATACAAATTGTAAAAAAAAAAATTTCCTGATATAATTTTTTTATGAATTTCTTTTCTTATTCATTATTATTTTAAAATAGCTATGTGGTCACAAGAGAAAAAGAAGAAAACATCTTTGTTATTTTAATTGTTGATTGACCAGATTGTAAAAAAATTAAAAACTGTTGTGCTTGTTTAGTTGCCAGTTATTTTACATTTTTATTATTTATATCATGTCGCATTTTATACTTCTTGCGTGGTTGAGAATCTTCTGGTGACAGAAAAACATTTTATGTCCTGCTGCTTCACATACGACTTAAATGGTAATCATGAAAAATCTAAATAAGCCATGTTATTTTTTCCTAACCCTTTTTAAAATCATATCTTTGTAATTTATATTTTGAAAAATAATAAGAATGAAGGTATTATATGGTTCGATTTTATTTATTTAAACCATAAATTGCCTTTATTAATAAAAGTATATTTTATTCCTACCTATAATGTATTTATTTCAAACATCAATAAGAATATTTTTTGTTGTAACTTCATGCTTACATTGACAAGCATTAGTAGGGCCATACTGATTAAAAAAAAATGGTGTATGAATATTTGGCAGCTCCTAAAAGTTATGTATTTTTATAGAAATATATATAGTCTTTGTGTCCATTTTCCTACGTCTTTCGACAAGATGATTCAGAAAATGTTATCTCGTTATGAAAATACAGTTCGAAGAAGAAGAAAAATACTCTGAATAACTTTTGATATAATGATCGGATTTTCATGTACTAGGACTCAATGGTTCAAAGGGGTACCCTCAAATATGCAAATTAATCTGTGCTATTCATTCGAAGTTACGAAATCAGCTACAAAAACTTATTTTTTCTGAACAAATATACCTTTTGTCTTTGGAGGGATTCGAATTCCTTACCCTCAAAATATATTGGGTAGCCACAATCTGAGAAATATGGTACTAATAGTTTGGTCAGAAGAACGGTTCAAAGATTGGACCCCTGAGGGTAATATTACTTTTTGCTTAATTTGCAAGCGAATTGAAAAAATTTGCACCCAATCATAAAATTCGCTTATCCAAAGATAATTCGAATTAAAAAATAATTTATAATTATTTTTTATCATTTTATTTTAATAATAGTTGAACCTATGCCTGTTCAATTACATCAAAAGAAACCATCCTCCTTTCTCTACATAGGTATTTTCGAAATAGTTTGTTTCCCGCTTTGAAAGAGATATGAAAAGGATTTTTAAAAAAATGCCTGTCGAACTGTTTTGATAATATGTTCTGTTTTTGTTCTCTAAAAAAAAACAATTAGTTATAAGGTCAAATTTTCTTTGTATGAAATTCAGATAATCGAATTAATAATAAAGTAAAATACTTTTGCGGTTTCTAGAAGGGGGGGGGGTAACCCTGAAAACCCTATCCTGACTGCTCCACTGGACACAACTACGCCTCCCTAAAAAGGGAGACTTTCTATATTCCACGGAATTGTTCTAGAAATCTGAAAAGATCGTGTTTTTAAATAACTTGAATAGAACGAAAGAAATCATTGCTGAATTTCTTAAGTAAGTTAATAATTAGCGAAAATGTCATGATTGTGAAATTACACTTGTGCAGTTAAAATTTACTGTTTATCTTATAAACAATTATAGTCACTTGGAGTGTCCCCCTCGATTGCTAGAAATCGCTTAAAGTCCTCTTCAATATTTAACTCAAATAAGGAGAAAATTCCTAAATTAAAAGACTAGCATTTCTGAGATTTTCTGACTGCAAGACTAGATTTCAGAATTCCCTCATCGATTTAAATTCATCAAAGTTAAAAACGAGAAAATGATATAAATAATCGATTTTTCTACTACTATTTAGTAGACATAAGAATTTCTTTTTTCTCATGTGTGAAATTTAGAGAGCTTTTGTGAAATGTATTTTAATTTCGCGCCTCTCAAAAATTGAACCCCCGCGACGCCCATGGTTATCAAGAGGATTTTTTATCTCTAAATTTTAAGTAAATTCTATTTTGACAAAGAAACATTTTATGTACGTCGAACAAAAGTACAGTTGCCCTGCTTACAAGTATAAAAACTTTTGAGAACTAGTCATTTAAAGCTCTTAATTTTTTTTCCTTCTAAATCTATAGACGCATTAATATATAAATTTCGCTTTATTTATTATTTTTTGTAAAATTTTATTCATTGTTCATCTTATCGAAATAAAGAATGGGTTCATATTCATCTCTTGAATGCACGCTTTATAGTATAATAAATTTATAGCGTAATATTTTTTTATGGAGACATTTCTTTTCAAACAAATCCGTCGCTTAGATACCATACGCAAAATTTGGTATCGACAATAATAATAACAAAAAAATTAAACAAATAAATTCTACTTATTGTCTAACAACAAAGAAGAAAGTGATAAATTGCTCTTCAACAGTGGATTGATTCATAAGATTTCTTGAATATTCTCTTGTAAGCTCAAGAGATGAAATATTAGATAATTTCCTCTAATTTGATTTAGTGAAAAAATTTAAATTAGTCAACTGGTTGTTTACGTTAATTTTCAATTATTACGATAACAGTCAAACTTTTTTTCATGGTATTTTTTTTAGACTGTCTTTTTTTTTTGTTAATCTTGTAAGAAGTCTCTGAAATTCTGATTTGATTTTATGACAAGAAATACATTTTTTTTTAAAAAATTTAATCATTATTGCTATGATAAAAAGTAATATTATTATAATTAAAAAGTAATAAAAATTGGGTTTACAACCTACTTGAATAATTCATACGATTTTAAATTTTACGGTGTAATATGAATACGTTGTTTTTGAATTCTGTGTTTAAGAGAACGTATTTTGGTCCATCTTAATTGTCAAAAACTTCAAACACATTATTTTTATTAATATTTTTTAAAATCTCTTTTTGGAACATAAATTTATTTTATTGGTGAATGAAAGCTCTAAAATCCAAATGCATAATTTTTTACTACTTCATTGGAACAAACTGGTTCTTTCGTTTACTTTTTATAATTTTTTGCAAATGCAGGGGCGACTTGAAATATATATACAAGAAAAAAAAGAACATTCTTTTTATGTGTAAAATTAGTAATGAGCAAGTTTAAAATGTTGATGATAAATGCATTTTTGATTGTTTTTACCGTCAAAAGACATTGTATTTCCTTATCATAATTTTTCTTGACCACTTTTTCACGTTTAAGATTCTTTCCTTTTTTATGAATATTGAAAGATAACTTTCATTCTAAGAGCATTTTGCTCGTGAATTTATCTATTTTTTAAAATTACAGTAAATTTTGCACACAATTTTGTTGTTTTAAATGTGTTTCACTTACAAGTGTATCGTAGAATGGAGTTAAGAAATACTTATCTTTAATTATTTGTTTTATACTTATCTTTATTTTATCTATTTTTTGTAATAATTTAAATACTATTTTATCCATAAATAATAAATTTATTTTTATTGCTATTTTTTTTAAAGAAGAATGTTGTATAAAACACGTTTTTGAAAATTTAACTGGCGTTGTCTTTTTTTTTTAAGGTTAACTTTGATAGTTTATCGAGCCTTTTTTAAGAATTTATAGTTCTGAATCCCAGCCTTGGTAATGAATGACTTAGTTACATTTTTCAAATATTTATAGTAATGATACTATCATGTGATCCCACGTTAGGATAACTATTTTAGAATTTTTTACTTGAAAAAAGTGTCACTTGAAACAACTTAACCTTTGAAATCGTAAGACGATTTTGAAATTGCACCTTTTATCGTATCGTTTGTGATAAAAAAGTATATTTTTAAAGATTTTACAATTTTGACTATCATTTCTTTCAAAAATAAATTAAATTTCTCTTTAATAATATTAATTCCAAAATATTTTATTCAGATCGATGTCGTTTGCGTAAAAATTAGGAAACGATTTAAGAAAACTAAATATTCTATTGTTTCGAAAAGCGGTTTTTTTTATATTTATGAACATTTTTAAACTAAATTTTTTATTTTCTTCTTTCAATACATTTTTGGCGATTCTTCTGCTGCGTAAATTTTGAAAACAATTTGGCGAATTTCGACGATTCCCGCGTAAATGAATTTTTCTCCACGATCGAGACCAAGTACCGGCTGCAGCTATGATTTCCCATGATGCCTTTTTCCAAACACGTTTTCCCTAACCATTTTCCAGTATTCAGCTTTTGGCGTTCTGAGTTGGTGTCATGGCGGTCGCACAAGCACCAAACACAAATATGGCGATAGTTCCAATGCAAACTAATGTTGTTGTTACTCAACAACAACAAACTTATGCTCACACAACTATGGAAGATTTAAATACAATAACTGCACTTGTGCCTGCTGATGAAGTAGGACCCCCTCCTGCTAAAAAAGGTCGAGAATCAACTGGAAAATGGAAAGGGTACGACAGCAAGCGAGTCTTCAAGAAAGAATGGGAAGAACGTTATGGTAAGTATTTCAGCCGCTACTTTGGCGAGCGAGATCGATGTCGTTTCGGCACGGGTTATCGTAATGGCGGCCGGTTAGGCTTCGGGGCGACGCCCAGGACGCCAATCCTTAAGGTAACACTAAAATTACGCCAAATGAAGAAGTTGATAGCGCAATATGAAGAGTGTTATGTTTGTGCACATTGGTCATTGTTTATCATTGATTATTAGTATAATTAAATTAAATACTCTATCTAAATTATGTAACAATTGGAACATTAAAATGGCGACATCGTTGTCTCTAGAAAGAATTCTTAAAGTCCACTGTATTTTAAGCAGTGATGTCAAATATTTGAAAATGCAAAGTTATGGAACATTTTGGGAAATGATGTAATTGTTATTATTTTAAAAACTAAGAATTTGAGTAATTTTGATCATTTTAATTATAAATCGACCTTCAACCATTTATGATATGTTATTCCATATCAAAAGAATTACTTAAGCCTAAATTCTACACGTACATGAAAATTATTTAGAACAATTAGAGAAATTCACATTTCATTTTTATGCTTTTTAAATTTTTTTTCCCCTTTTTTTTAAATAAATTTTCTGTCACATTTTTCATAAAAAAAGTTTTCGTAACATTGTTTAAAAATTATTAAACAAAATTCTAATTCTTTCAATTTATATTAAAATTAAATATTACATGAGCTTACAATTTAATTAAAATAGGTGTAATATACAGCTGATAACGAAATGTTGTGTTTAGTTAATTGTGGATTTCATTTTAGCATTCAACAAAGTAATTATATTCAATAATTAAATTTTTTTGTTTTTAATTTTTTTATTAATTGTCTAACAAAATTAAATAAAAACAAATTGCTTAGTATCTAAATAGAAAAAGTATGAAATCACAAAGTATGATTTGTTTTTGATTATGTATTGAATTGTCTAAAATCTAAGTGTAAAAAGCAAAATTAGAGCAAATATTGGCAATGAATAGCATTTTTGTCAAAAATAATTCTAGTTTTACTCTTTAAATTTTATAATTTTTTAATAAAAATCCTTCTGCACATGTTGGTTTTAATTTAATATATATAGATATTTTAGTATCAAAATTCAAGTCACTTTAAAATTCTACCAAATCTGTATATAGTGAATGTCAGCTATCAGACCAACTTCAACACTAAAAAATAATTCATAATAGCACTTCTGTCATAATAGCACTCCTGTCATAATTGCACATAGTCTGATTTAAAATTTTGCTTTATAATAGCGAGACAAAAATCTGTAAAAAATTGTAAGTTGGGTGTTATAATTATTGTTAAGAGTTACGGAGTTACACTAAATCTTAACACTAATGTAAATAACTTCTGAACTCATTTTAAATTGTCCAACCCAGTAAGTAATCATGAAGTATCAAAATATCTTTTCAGCATTTTAAATATATTGATTTACTCTAGGTTTACCTGAACTAACTTTTCTCTAAACTTTTAAAATACCAATAACAGCATTTTTTATAAAAAGTTTCTCCTGCGGTATCAAGTCTTCTTAAGCACTGAAAGAGCGTGTTGCTTTATGTAGATAATTTTTAAAAAAGTTACAGACATAATTTTTCAAATAAATTAAAATATTAACAAAAATAAAATGTATTAAAATTAAACAACAAACAAACTTAGTAAGTTTGTTCAATGTATATATATATATGTATACATAAGCATACATACATGTAGCACAATAAGGACAAGAAGGATAAAAGAAAGAAGAACAGAGAAATTTAATAAGTTTTATTTACTGCGCATAAGCTGAAATGTATAGAACTCATAAAATAAGTTAAAAGTATAGAGAAAACATGCACAATAATAAAGATTAATGAAAATAAATATTATTAAAATAAAATATTGAAAAAAATTTTATTTAAAAAAAAATTATTAAAATAAAATATTGAAAAAAAATTTTGTTTAAAAAAAATTAAAATAAATTATTTAAAAAAAGTTTATTAAAAAGTTGGAAAACAAAATAATGAAAAGATGCAATTTCTTCATCAGCTCACACAATTATATAGTGCTCCTTTTCGCGGATATAATCGTGTGAGCTGATGAGATTATATCTTTTCATTATTTTGTTTTCTGTTTTTTAAATTTTTCTTTTTTAAAATAAAATTTTTTGAAATATTTTTAAAAATATGTTATTTTATTAATTTTTCTCTTTTCATTAATCTTTATTATTTTCCATGTTTTGTCCAGGTCAAATTTACTACATTTTAGCGGTACCTTCACAAATTCAACTTTAGGAAAAACGGTAGTTTCGCAAAATACTTTTTCTTAAAATTTTATTTTTTTATCCCTTAAGAAACAATAAATCTATATTTTTGTGTTGATTTTTTAATATATTTTTTAATTTTTCACAAATTATGTATAAATTTTCACAAAATATGTACCTTTCTGAAAATCCTAGACAGACCCTTGCTCTATATTTTTAACTAATGCATACAGGGTGTTTGAACCATCCTCAAACAATAGAAAACATGAACTCAAATATTTTTTTTTTATAAACATAATCAATATCTGCCATTATTTTAGTTGCTATTTTTATAACTATTTAAAAACATTTGAAAAATATATACAAAGTAAATATTAATACATAATATGCAAAATATTAGAATATTATAACAAAATATTAGAAAATAGAATTTTTTAATTCTTTTTAGAAGATTATTTTTGTTTTATAAACTAAACAAATGGATGTGGATTAAAATATTTTGTTAGCAGTTATATTTTAATGCTACAAAGCAGGGTTCGTGATTTTTTTGATTTAAATCAGATTTTTTTGATTTTTATTCAAATTCACTGTATGAACTTTAATTTATGATTAAAAAAAACTTTATAAATGCTTGATCAAAATTAAATTAATATTAAAACTATATTATAACAATATTTAGAACAACATTTTAACTTACTAAAATAATTTTTCATTATAATACATAGCTTTGAATCCATAGCAACCATTTTGAAACAAATGCATGATTGAAATTTAAAGACTAGTTGAAATAGAGAATTTAGAGAATACTTTATGGGTTTTTCTGAAAGATAACTATTTTGTGAAAATTCAGACATAATTTTTGAAAATTAAAAATTATATTAAAAAATCAATACAAATACGTTAAAAATTTGGATTTATCGTTTCTTACGAGATACAAAAATAAAATTTTAAGAAAAAAGTATTTTGTGAAATTATTCTACCGTTTTTCCTGAAGTTAAATTTCACTTGGACAGACCCCTGTACTTTAACTATTGAAACAAAGTTTCAATTAGCAAACTGTAATTTTAATTTAAAATTTCTTTTTTTTTTCTCTTGATTTTTAAAATGACAAAATAAATGTAACAGATTGTGTTTATAAATGTAGTCATTCATCAATAAATAAATAAATATTTAATCTATATATTTTTATATTAAAATATTCCTTTTTAATTCTATATCAAAATGATAAGTTAAGCTAAAAAAAAATTTTTTTTTTAAATCAATGTACTCATAGAAATTTTTTTCCACAAAATTTCTATCTAGAAAATCAGATGTCAAAGATACTATAAACATATTATGAGAAAAAAATACCAGTTAATAACCCTATAAAAAATATATAGGCTTTTTATACTGCTTCAACTCAGGGCTAAAGAGAATACAAGGGCTAGTTCACTCCGCTCTTAGAGCTGAAGCTACGATTTCCCTCCTCATGACGTCACTGTGTCTACAGATCTCGGAGATCGCAAGCAAAGATATGATAACTTTGCATCTTTCTCTTGTAAAAATAAGTTAGACTTTTTCTGGTTATTAGCCTTCAAACTTTACGTAATTAACACATTATTTCCGTTCATAAACATAGTTCAAAAAAAACTTTCTTGGTTATTATATTAAAAAAATACCATTTTAAACTTATAAAAATGTTTTGCTAGTTGGTGAAAATGACACGATAAATACTTTATTTTAAAAAGTTCAGTTTTAACTTTAACTATTAAGAAAAATGAAGGCATATATCGACACTTTTTTTATCTACATATTCTTTTATAAAGATAAGTTAAGTTAAATTTAGAATCCCTGATTTTAAAATATGTCGTTAATAGCAATTTGTTCATACTTAATCATTAGGAAACATCAACCTTAAACGCTAATTACTGAAACAAAATAATAATTTAGGTTCATAATGACATTAGAAATTTTACAATTGTTTATAGACATTTAAATTTACGATGATATAATTTATAGATATTTAAATTGAAGAGAATATAATTTTTAAAAAAAATCATAAATATTTAGAATAACTACATTAAAAAATATGTTATGAAATTAGGAGAATTTCAACTATATACTATATATTTTATTTATACTTTTTACTTACATTTTAATTTTCTTTGACTTTATCTATTTTTTAATTCTTTTCACCTGCCTTTCTTTATGAAGTAACGAGGCGGTTTCTATTTAGATAATGAATTTTTATAAAAGTTCTTTACGACAGAATAAACGTATTGCTGTTTTATATTAACTGTGTCATTTCGGAATCCATTCTTTACATAGTTGTTCATTTACTTTAGGGAACACGCGAAAAATTATACTTTTTCCTTTTGTTTTTATATCAGAATTTTTGCAAGTTGCAATCGCGCAAACTGGCATTTCGATAATAGTTTTAAATTCTTGTAAATTCACTGCAAAAACTGAGGAAAGTCATTATAGAAAATAACAAATGTCTTAGAATATCTCGCAAAAAGAAATGATCCAATATTAGTTAGAGCTAGTAAGGCCAAACGCTCCGTTCTTGAAGTAAAAGTGCGAGCTTTGCGCCAAAGTGACGTCACTAGAGTGACGTCGGAGGATCGGCGCGGCAAGAGATACTTCAAAGGAGTGAACCAGCCCTTCTATTCTCTTTAGCCCTGGCTTCAACTGGACTTTGAAAGAGTTTGAAAGGGAAGAATGGCATTATATCTGGAAAAAAATATCTGAATTTATTGGCCTTTTTTTTTCTTTCTATTTTTGACAAATTAGGGTAATTTCTTTTTAATATAACCTCAAGTTTCAGAAATATACATTTTCCACCATTAAAATATAATGTAGATTTTAATTACACGCTTTTTCTTTCAAAGGGTATAATTTTAATTAACAATATTTACATTATTTTTTGAAAAAAATCATGTTTAATAATTACTTTCTACAGCTATGCAAGTCTATATTAAGACAGCATTAAATGTTTGTTTACTTTAATCTGTACTTTCAATCTCAAGAATCAAAAGATTTTTAAAACTGTAATTTCAAATGTGTTGGAATTTAACACACACCAAGAAAGAAAGTAATTTCGTTAACTAAAATTAATTGATGCAATAGCTTATTTAAAATAAATTTTGAAGCTAAGAAAATAAAATAATAAAAGTATCAATTTAAAACACTGTTTTTTAACTTTTATAATCAATATATATCAAAAAAAAATTAATTGATTTAAATTAAATCAATGATTTTTTAAAAAAAAATCATTTGATTTAAATCATGATTTAAATCATGATTTAAATCAAGCTGATTTAAATCAGCAAACCTTGATAATAATTTAGATATAAGAATGCATTAAATTTTAAACCTAGATAAAATATTGAATAATATGAAATTAATCTTATTAAATTAATCTTATTTTACATTATAAAATTTTATTTAATTTAACTGGTTAAAAGTTTACATGATTGATTCATTATTTTGCTGATCATAGCAAAACTAATTCTAAATACATAGTTGAAAGAGAGATTCGAAAAACTATCAATAAAATTGTTCCATAAATAGTAGTTATGTAGTTAGTTGGCCTGTAAAAGACTTTATTTTAACGTAAAAAAAAGAAGCAAAAACTTAAGTATTTAAAAACAAATAAATAAAATGGAAAACAGCATATTTCTTTGAACCCGGTATTATGCTTTTATTTCTAGTCAAAGGAAGAATTTTCCTATGTAAGTTTTCTTTTTAACTGAAATTGTTCCTTTTGAATTAAAATTTAAACCCAAAAAGTGTTTAACTAGGTAATATCTTAAAAACTCTAAACCCACGTGGGTTGGTTTTCTTTAAAAAAAAACCAGTTTTTTTTTTAAAAAAATCTGTGTAATTGTATATATATATATATATGCAGTACAGAACCCGTTATCCGGAACTCAAAAAACCGGAACGAAATTCGATAAATTTTCCCGCTATTTTTAAAAAATTAATTTTTTNTTTCAAAAAAAAAAAAACATTTTTTTTTTCCTCATAGGATTTTAAGATTTTTCTTTCTATTTTGAAATATGTTTACCTTATCATCATTTTGGAAATAATCATTAGTGAATTACTTCATCGTTTTTTCTTTTTAAGATTATTTTCAAAATTTTTTTTTTTTAGTTGGGTTTAACAGTTAAAAAAACGGCTTTTTGTAGCGATTCAGAAAACCGGAAAAATCAGTTATCCGGAATAGCGGGGGTCCCGATCGGTCTGGATAATCGGTTCCCTACTGTGTATCTATATATAGTTGCCTAAGTTAAAGCTTCATTTTACTACCCAACTATGTTAAATTTTTCTTTAAATTTTACCAGCATTTTAGAATTTTCTTATTATTAGATTCTATTTTTACAGATTATTGGTGAATTCCAGCAGTAATGTAAGGACAGTTTATGCTTCAAAATCAATGAATTTTTGACTGTAACTAAAAATGTTACCAATTTTTTCAATGATTAACATTTAGAGTTTTATATTCTTTATAGCTAATTACTGAAAATCTCAAACCTACAAATTTTCAGTTAATAACTTTTTTTAAAAATTTAAATAAAAAAAAACTGTAACAGAAGAACATTTTTTCGACAGGATTGTGACATTTTTAATCTAAATTCAGCCGAGCTATAAAAGAAAAATTTTCGGAAAAATAAGAAAACATAAAGAAGGTTTCAATTATTATAATTTGACCTGTTTTTTTGAAAAATAATTATATTAACCATGGAAACAAGTTACTCTTTAACAGTAGCAGAAGGACATAAAGTTCGAAATTATAAACTTCATTTCAGGTATTCTGAAAGGCATGTTTTGCCATGTGCTTGTTTACTTTGATGTTTAATCCAGCCCTGAGTACAACAGGAAAATAACTTCAGTCCACTCGAGAAAATTGTATGAAAAAATACAAACTTAGTTTTATTTTTCATTGAAAATGTATTAAAACTGAATAAATAAAAAAAAATTAGACGTACAAAGTACATAACAGTATTAAAGAGAGAAAATATGAATGATTACTTTAGACTAGAGAAATTTGTCATTCATTTGGATGAAATAGGTTTTTTTCTTAAACTAAAGTAAATTTCTTTCTCCCTGTTTTGATATTTCAAAGAGTTTTAGAGGACGCCCAGTGGCTGAGTGGTAGCGCTTCGCTCTGGCGTGCCACAGGTCCTTAGCTCGAACCGGGCATGGTTGACTCAGCCTTTTATCCCTTCAGTGGGTCGATAAACTGAGTACCAAGCATGCTTGGGAATTAAGCACTGGGAATTCCGCAGTCAGCTGACCACCCAAGATTGGAGTTTTTGCAGGCAAAAAGGGGTTTTTGCTAGGACAGTGGCAAAAAAACTGGTAAATACCGGCAAAAACTAAATTATTTAAATTGCTGATTAAATTTTATTACAAAATAGTGGAAACAAATTTAAATCGATCATAAGGAATAATATTGATACATTACATGAGAAAATTATTTTTAAAAGATTGAAAGTTTTTGACCTCTTTTCATCTTAGAATCCTTAAATAGTTTTTTTATAAAATGATGAATAAAGTATTGAATTTGCGCACATTTAAAAAATTGCATTTCTACTTGTATATTTTAATTAACTACACATGTTGATAGATATTTTATGCTTTAAATTATAGTTATATTAATTTAAAATAAGTTAATTTCACTGCAAAAAAGAGAATCACTAATTTTCAATCAATAATGCTTTAAACTACTAAAATGATATATTAATGTATTATAATTTAATTATGGAATAATAATTTTGTTATTTTTTTTAATTATATATATTTATAGTATATATTTCAATTTTAGGAATAATTTTGTATCAAAAATGTGTTTTTGTCCTCTCTTCTTGGAAAATATAGGTTTTTGCCACTTTGCTTGACAAAAACCTGTTTTTGCCAGGACGGTTTTTACCATGGTTTTTTCTACCTGCAGCAAAATCTTGCCAATCCTGTGACGACCTAACTGGAACATCTGCTCTTGCACTCCAGAGCCTAAGGTCAAGAAAACTGAGATGGGTACAGTAGACCTTGGCCCTCTATGGGCTGTCGTGCCACAGTTTAGTAGTTTGGTTATAGAGTTTTGGAGTGATACGCTTAAATAAAACAGCTTGATGACTGAACAGATTGCAAACTTATTATATTTGATTTTATGTAATGTTAATCATCTTTCCCTGTACTCTTCGAATATCATTAATAATTAAAATTAATCCAACTTCACTTTTAGTTCAGTTATAATTTATTAGAACTATCTTGATTGGCTTAAATTGTTCAGAAATTGACTAAATGTAATATTAAATGTGGTTGTTCCGATTAATGTTTAAAATATTTTTTTTGAAATTATTAATTGACTTTAATTGTTTGAAAATATCTTTTCAGCATGGGTCACGGCTGTTCCCGAGGATCCAACTCTTGCATACTGCAAAATTTGTGGGAAGAAAATCAGAGCTCACAAAGGAGATATAGAAAAACATCAAAAAACGAAAAGACACTTGAAAAAACAGACAACATCAGATATCTTAGCTGACTTAATACCTATCTCATGTGGTGAGTCAGATCTTGCAATAAATGGTTTGTATTAATAACAGGAGTTATTGTTTTTGTTAGTTTTTTTTAAATAGTTTTAGTTTAAATTTTTTCATTTTTGTCATTAAATTTTCTTTTTTGCCTTTTCACATATAATTTTAATTATTTTTCAAGAAATTGTGATTTTATTTTAATTACTTAATTTATGTAGTGCATCAACTTTGTTATGTATATGAGTTGATTTACACATTATAAATATTTGCATTATTTGTAATTATTTTTTATTACTTGTATTTTATGTTATTTTTATGTACTTTTTGTTATTTAATTTGGGTTATGTTTAGTTTTCTGTGTTTGAATTATTTAATATAAATATAACTAGTTTTTGTGCTAAAAAAATTAACTAAACACTTATAAGTATAAATTTAATAATTTCATAATACGATTATTTATAATTGCCTTCAATTTAAAAATATACAATTATGTTAAATGATTTCAAAATTTTTTTGAAAGTTAAGTAGCTTTAAAGTTATAAAGATTTGTATCTATGGTTTAAGAGCTATACTGTTGTGCAATAGAAAAATCTATGTGCGCGACAATAAATTCAATATTGAGATTTTTATATAGTTGGCATTTTTGTATAATAAGCTATATATTGCACAAAGAATTGATCAGAAGTAGATGTTTTTTTTATCATATTGTTAAGTTCTAATTTAGAACAATAATGAGGGAAAGAAAATAGTTGTGAAGCGGCTTTTCTCGAAATCTAACGTGATGGTTTTGTGTTTTTTTAAAAATTTTTTTTATTTGAACAGCAGTTTACAATTATGATCTTTTTTTTTTTGAAAAAAATAATAATGGTAAACTGTCAAACATTCCAAAAATTAGAGAATTATTTTTTATTTTTGAAGTCTTATTAAGTAATTTTTATTATCTTTTGAGCAAGCACATAGGTATAACTTTTCCAAGGGCGGAGTTAAAAAATTCAAATTTGAGAAATTGAAGTGAAGTTAAATTTAAAATTGAGGACTAATACTTATGCTCTCTCTATATATTTTAAATATGTCTTGCACTTTTTAATTGTAAAAAATTAACTGCAAATTTTTAATTGTAAAGTGAATTTAGAGTTTTATTTTTTGATCCATGTATATTTGAAAACCACTATTCTAAGAGCTGGTCAATTTTTTACTTGTATTGAAAAGAATTATTTTTGATAGCATAATTTTTGAAAGCTTCTTTCAACAACATTATCTCTTTATATTAAAAAATCGTCTGGGTCATCTTAACATTACATTTTTACTTTCTGCGCAAAAACTATGAGGTTTAAACATTTGAAATTACGATGGATTGCAGAAAAATGTTCAGGGAGTACGATGAAATAAAAAAAAATTACTAATTTATACTCAAACAAAATTTTCTTGGAGTTTCATTAATCTAAAATTTAAATTCAGCATCCTCTTTTTCTTTCTAAGTTCTTATTCACAGGTGATTACGACTTTTTTTATACTGATTTGTTAGGGAGTAACTCAGTTTCAGAAAAACTTAGGGAACACAAGATGTGGAAAAAAATAAAAATCTATAATGCTTCTGCGAATCAATAAATTGAATTCCAACAAAATTTCCTTGGAATTTCCCTAATCTAAAATGTAAATTTTGCTACTTACATAAAATCTCATTAACAAGACATTTATTTTACTCTTACCAGCACCCTTTGTTTCGTCTGCAATAACGACTTTTTTTACGCAAATTTGTTAGAAAGGAATGTTACAATTAGGTTGAATCAATTTGCAGTTAATGCAATTGATGTTCTCATGGTTTTTAAAATTTTGATATTATTATGACACACAAAATTTTAAATCTCAATCTCCCATATTTGAATAATCACTTTTTGATGTGCTTTCCTACGTTTTATTGGCTATTGTTGCTACATATTTCTCAAAAAAAAAAATTCTGAATCCCTAAATTGTTTGTACATTATTATTATTGTTATGAAACGCTAACTTCAATTCATGCCTTTATTAGTCACTTTTCAACGCGATTCCACTGTTCTTTCGATCAATTTTTTACCAGTTATTGTTACTGCTATTCACATGGTTTTTAAAATCCTGATATTTTAATATATTATTAAGAAACAAATTCGATTTGCACATTTGGGTGAATGCTTTTTGACATGTTCCATTTGCACTAAATCCATATGACGTTCACTCTTTTTGTTGTTGCAGTTTTGCTGTTTTTACATGATTTTTTAAAATCCCGATATTATTATGATGTGGGAAATTCAAATCGTACACTTTTCAGCAGTTATTATTGTTGATTTTTGCATATTTTTTAAATCTTGATATTTTCAATACAATATTATTTATTACAACACTTGAATTTCGAAAGATACGTTTCATTAACCCTTTTTTGATGGGTCTGATTCGAGTGATTTCGTTCTGAATAAACGTGGTTTTATCATCAATCTCTTTTTAAACTTTTGCTGTGAATATTATGGTTTTTGAAATCCTTTTTATTGCAATGAAGGTTTTCTAAGTGTAAAAAAATAGAATGTGCGATTTTTTTTTAATAAATATATTTTATGTGTGAAAGAAAAAGATTTATAGGATAAAAAATTTTTCTTTACCTTTTAAAAGTTTAAAAATTTTACTTTTATATATAAAAATGAGTCATTTATTTATCTTGTATTTACAAAAGATATACTAAATCTAAACAAAAAAAGAAAAAAAAATACACATTGAGAAAAAAAAATCAGATAATTCCTTCATCCAGCATGTCTGTCATATACACAAACTTTTAACTAAATTCAAATTTCGTTATGTTTTATTATTATGTAATGTATAACTTAAAGACAAAATTGTATCTTAATACTAATAAAAAGTTTAACTTTGAAAGTTATTTGAAAATATTATTCTTTGAAAATAATTGTTTAGTTTTTAAAAATAGGAATGCTTTATTGTATTTAAATCACCTGATGAATTGACATTCCCCCTTTTTTTTTTGTAAAATGTAAATAAAATGTGAATTATTAAATATTCACATTTTATGTACATTGTTACAGAAAGTTTTCATTCTTATAATTATCTAATTTTTGTTTCACTAGTTGCAATATAAAATTTTTATTTAAGAGATTTTTCATTTAATGAAAATTTAATTTTTAATATTAATCAAAACTTAATTATTTTTGTTAATTCTAATACATGAACAATATAAATGTTGAAAAAACTTGCATAAATTTATTATTTAAAAATTGTTTTAGGTATATCCTCAAAAGTTCAACTGCAATAATAATAAATATTTTTATGTATTGGTTTAAAATTCTATATATTCTATAATAATTCTTTTATTGTCAATAATATATTATATATTTATTACTTTATTAACTCTTTATGTTTTTTTTTATTAAGTGTTATTTGTTAAATTTTTGTTTGCTTTTTACCACCAAAATTTGTTCTTCTAACTAGAATTCTCATTTTCATATAGAAAACTTAGATGGAACCAAAAATAATGACATTGAAAGCAATGGTGATGCAAGAGTTGTACCCCCACAGGCACAAGTAAGTATTAAAATAGTGATTTTTTCCCCTAATATATCAAGTTATTTATGAAACATTCATTGCTATTTAATACCTGGAGGTATATTATACAGAAGGACCAACTGAAATAGGATCTCAGCGTAATTTTATTAGAAGACTTACATTTAATTACCGAACAACTTGTCGAAATTTGTTATTTTAAGTATTAAGTAATAAGAATGTATCTCTAATCGAATTGAGAATTCGTAAATTATGAAAATTAAAATTTTTTGATAGAAGTAAATAATTAATTAAAAATGTTAGACATTTTGTTTATTATGTAATGAACTGTTCTTGAGATGGCAAATAATTTTTTGTAGTCTATTATAACCTTTTTTTTTTTGAAGAGTTTGAATGGTTTTGAAACTAAACTGGTTTATCAGAACAGTATGCAGTAAAACATTGTCCAAAAAATGAACTTCAAAATTAATAAAATGGAAAATTTGCATGTCTTAGTACATTAACACTGAAATTCATAACATTTTATCCAATAAACTTAAGAAAATGTAATTTTATCAGAATGTACTTAGAACATGTAGTTACATCAAATAACTGTTTTCAAATTTAAACATTCTGAAATTTATGTTAAAATAAACAACTTAATCAATACAATTATATGTGTGAAAGATCATTAGCAAGCACTGTAAATTATTTATATATAATTATTTAAAAATAATTTTGATACATGAAGGCGATAAATAAAAACTACTTTATTTTGTAAATTTAACTTTTTATAACTCGAAAGGTAAATAGCAACCTTCAATTAGCAGGTTATGTTTTTTAGTGGAAGAGGTGGAATAGATGAAATAATTTTTAAGAGTTATTTAATTTTCATTAAAATATATACTTTGAACATTATCAATGCATGTCAGTTTGTTTTTGAAGCGTCTAAAGAATAAAGTGTTTTAGTTCTGTCTTTTTCCAATCCTATGCATGGAATTCCGCAATTTAAATTTTGAAACTTTTGCTGAATCCTAATGAGAAGTTTACATACATGTGGTTCTGGCAGTTTCATGGATTATCACCATTTTTAATATTTGGAACTGCACCGTAATTCGGTATTATCCATATTTACCTAATTTAAAAGTTACACCTTGCAATTCGTGTTCACATGATTTAAAAACCAACATCTCGACTCAAATTCACTCGATTTAAAAATCCAATATCATGGTTCATATTCTCTCGATTTTAAAATCCAGCATTACGATTCATATTCGTGCTAGGGCTGGACGATATAGAAATTTCNACGCTACGGCAGATCGGACTCTGTTCTGTACATTCTCGCAATGATTAAACCGGTGTTTCACTACATCGGAGAGAGCAACATCGATTTAGCGTTTGCTGTCATGAATAAATCGATTTAGTAGAGTCGAAATGCTCACTCCGGAATTTTGTTGAAGATGAAATGGATAAATCGGTATTACGATGTTGGAGTTAAACCGATATATTGTCTTACATCGGTATAAAGCCCAGTCCTAATTCGTGCAATATTAAAATCCAATATCGTTATTCTTATTCATGTTATTTCAAAATGCAACATTGCGATTCTTGTGGGAAATAAGATTTTTCCTTTATTAATTACTATAAAGGTGTGTTATTCTTTGTTGGTAGGTAATTTAGTTATAAATCTTATTTCAAAAAATTATGTTAAATATAAAACATGTATGGTATATAGAATGATATCTTGCATGGAAAATTTTCAGGGTTTTTCACTTTGTATCACAATAACCCCAGTTTCTTCTTTGTCTTCAAAAAAGAAATTTTTTTTCTTTTTCTTATGCTATTAAATGAAAAAGTAGGGCAAAACAGGGAAATGAAATTACAGCATAACTTTTGCTCAGGAGCTCAATGTTTGGAGGGCTTATGGTTCTTACCTTTTAGCGTGCACTTTTGTGAAGAAAGAAAAGATATTTTCGTTTTTAATTTTACATAGCCCTATTTTAATTAACATTTGTGTAATTTTGTTAAAAGAAAGGTGGAATAGTTAATTATTAGTTTCATCGTAGCGAACACATAACCTATAACTCGCAATAGTAATGTAAAAGATGATCCTTTGGCTTGGTGTTGGATATCAGTTATCAATTCTATCTCTTTTTTAATTAATTAATTAATTTATTATTATTTTTTATGTTAGTCAGCTATTTCTACTTTGTTCTTAATATTATTTTTTAATTTTCCAATTAACATTAATTTCTCTTTATTCTTTTTTTCCAGTGAATTTTTAACATAATTTTTTAATCCGATAGTTTGTCATATTTGCTAATTCAATCTTCTTCAAAAGGGGCATAATATATTAAAAAAACATTGAAACACATGTATCATTTTTCATTTAATGGAAAATCAACAAAACTAATTTTTTTTTACTTTATCAAAATTAGTTAAATAAAGCTCCTCCCCTTTTCTTTTTAAATTTTTTTTATTAACTATTCAATTGTATCTGCAGTAAGTTTTTTCAGTAGTTTATTTTAGTAGTGTAAGTCTTGACTCAATTTTACTAATAAAACTTATGACTTTGTATCTAATCAAATCACAAATTTAAATAATTATTTCTAGCGTAACTTGTAATATAATTCTACCTCTTCTTTATCTACCACATAAACAGTGCCATTGTTCTTAAACTAATTGATTTTGAGAATTTAATTTCATCTCCCAAAAATAAACTTTTCAGATTTTTTAATACAAAATGACTTTTCTCAAAATTTCAAATTTGTTTTAAAGTAAGTCATTAAATATTTTTATTATAATCTATTGTGTTTTTATTTTTTATCTTTAAATAGTATAAGTTTGTACAAATGTTTAATATAATTGCATAATAGTGTTTATTATTGTAATCTGAAGTATAAGGTTTAAAAATAATTTATATTGTGCTCAACATAATAACATATGATCCATTTAACTTGCATTTGATTTTTGTTGTAAAGTGCATAATTATGGTATATTTACTCCTTGTACAACTTTCTAATTGCATTTTTAGATAGTACCTTTTTATTGCAATTTAGCACAATTAATAAGACATTTAAATTTTTTCTTCTGTTGAATGGTTTATCATATCTATGCAAATAATTATATAATTTTCTTATGTGGTAATACAAATCAAGCCATATTACATAGTCTCTGATAGTAAAATTTTAATTTTTTTTTAAAAGACGTTTTAATGGTGTATATTTTTAAATTTATATTTGCAATATTATTGTATTTCATTTGGGATACCTATTTTTGTATTTTCAATGTCATTTATATGCCAATGAATAAGTGAGAAGTCATTTTATGCCTTTGTGATGCTTTCAAATTATGATATTAAGTTGACTAGTTTGGAAAAGTCTAACTCAGTAAGCCTTAAGTCAAATCTTTTAAATTTTTTAACCTTGATTGAAAAATGTTCATGTTATTGAAATAAATAAAACCATTGGTAACAATAATAAAACTTTCATAATCAATAATCAAAGTGATCACATTGTTACGACTCATACGTTTTGTAGCCAAACTATCTTGTCAAAAACTTCTTTTAACTAGAAGTTCTGATAAAATGAAAATGTAGTTTCTGCAAATGATGTATACTCGGAACTAGAATAGATTTCAAAAAAAGAATAAATAATAATAATAATAACTTTGTGGAAAGGAAATCTGACTTAGCTTGCAAACCCAATCCATAAAAGATAGTTATGGGGGGCTTGAGAGTGTTAGCAAATAAGAGGCAAAGCTCAATAGTAAATTAAAATTCATAAAGTGTTTAACATATTGGAATGATTTTTTTTTGATTTTCTTCATCTTGTGTATTTAGTTAGAGTAATAACATCTGTATTAATCTCTCCTTTAAACTGATGACTTAGATTAGTACAGCTTTGGCATTCATTGTGTTTTATCAAAGAATTTACACTTTAAAAAGATGTGGTAAAGTGTGCCATTTAAAGTGTAACATGATGTGTTAATTGACTATATTTCTAATGAGATAGATTTCATTAGAGAAAAATGTTCATTTCTTTTTATGCATTGAATAATTTCATAGTTGTAAAATACAGTTAAAATTTTGACACAAAATTTGTTTTGGAAACAGATGTTAAAATCTGTTAGCATCAAAATTATTAATGAATAGGGAATTTTAAATTCACTTTTCATAGGAGCACGAAGCTTTTTGAACTGTGTGAGCTTTAATAGTCTCTCTTTCTTTCACTCTTATCTCACTTTTTAATATCAGAATTCTGTATACTGATCTTTTCTTTGTGGAACTGCCTAATTTTGTATTAATATCTAATTTTGTTTTTGAAAACAGTCCTTTATAAAAAAATAAAAAAAACTGTCAGCTTACAATTTATAGATTGATTAAACTTAAGATCAGGAATTTGCAATTTGGTTTGCTTATTAGAGGATCATTTACTAATTTTTATTTTATTAAAAGTTCTGTCACTCAATCTGAGGTTTCTATGCTTAATTTTGTGGCATGCGATTCTCCCCATTAATTTACACATTTATAATAACCACTTTATTTTTATATTGTAATTTAATTTTGTAATTAAAACTTTATGTTAGTACCATTGCATTATTTTTAAATAAAATTAAAATGTTTCAACTGCATTTTTCTAATTTTTGATATGATATATGTCAATCCTCTTAATAAATGTTGTAACAACCTGTGATAACATATTATTTTTTAAAACAGGATTCATATTTGTCCTAATTTTCCTGATAAAAATATTTTTCCCCATTTATAGTTTTTTGTTTTGATATTCCTGATTTTTTTATGCGGTCAGTTTATCCCATTTTCTTCAAATAATTGATTTGAAGAATCGAACGATTTAGATTTTTATTTGACATATTTTTATTTTAATTGATAATGATTGTAATAATTGCAAAATTTGGATAAATTAAACTTAGGATTTGTCTGCTAATTTTATACATGGTTCAGGTATATAGCCTTACCTGCAGGATTTGCGGTTTCGAACTTTTTGGGAATTAAATAATTTTGTGAAGAAAAAAATTTCAATATTTAATTTTTTAATATTAATTCAAGTGTCATACACTTCTTTATTATTGTTTGTAAATGCAATTACAAATCTTATAGGGTGGAGTTTTTTAGTTTCTCAATTACTGATTAATTTCTTTCATCTAATTTTTATTATTTTTTTTTTAAAAACAATTAATTCACATCAACAATTCAGTATTCATATGCATTTTTAAATGCGGAATATAGGGCTGATCCTCTAAATTACATTGGTACAAAAATGTTGAGCAGCATATTCATTGTGTTTTCGTTTTTGAGATTGTTGAAACCATTGGTCTGTCCAGGCCGAATTTACTACCGTTTAGCGGTACCTTCACAAATTCAACTTTAAGAAAAACGGGAGAAAAACCTGCAGGTAAGGCTATATGCATGGTTCAGGCATATAGCCTTACCTGCAGGATTCGCGGTTTTGAACTTTTTGGGAATTAAATAATTTTGTGAAGAAAAAAATTTCAATATTTAATTTTTTTAATATTAATTCAAGTGTCATACACTTCTTTATTATTGTTTGCAAATGCAATTACAAATCTTCTAGGGTGGAGTTTTCTAGTTTCTCAATTACTGATTAATTTCTTTCATCTAATTTTTATTTTTTGTTTTTAAAAACAATTAATTCGCATCAACAATTCAGTATTCATATGCATTTTTAAATGGCAGAATATAGGGCTGATCCTCTAAATTACATTGGTACAAAAATGTTGAGCAGCATATTCATTGTGTTTTCGTTTTTGAGATTGTTAAAACCAGTGGTCTGTCCAGGCCGAATTTACTACCGTTTAGCGGTACCTTCACAAATTCAACTTTAAGAAAAACGGAAGAAGAACCTGCAGGTAAGGCTATATACATGGTTCAGGTATATAGCTTTACCTGCAGGATTTGCGGTTTCGAACTTTTTGGGAATTAAATAATTTTGTGAAGAAAAAAATTTCAATATTTAATTTTTTTAATATTAATTCAAGTGTCATACACTTCTTTATTATTGTTTGCAAATGCAATTACAAATCTTGTAGGGTGGAGTTTTCTAGTTTCTCAATTACTGATTAATTTCTTTCATCTAATTTTTATTATTTTTTTTTTTAAAACAATTAATTCACATCAACAATTCAGTATTCATATGCATTTTTAAATGGCAGAATAAAGGGCTGATCCTCTAAATTACATTGGTACAAAAATGTTGAGCAGCATATTCATTGTGTTTTCGTTTTTGAGATTGTTGAAACCAGTGGTCTGTCCAGGCCGAATTTACTACCGTTTAGCGGTACCTTCACAAATTCAACTTTAAGAAAAACGGTAGTTTCACAATTTCAACTTTAGGAAAAACGGTTTCACAATTTCAACTTTAGGAAAAACGGTTTCACAATTTCAACTTTAGGAAAAACGGTTGTTTCACAAAATACCTTTTCTTAAAATTTTATTTTTGTATTCCTTAAGAAAGGATAAATCCATATTTTTGTGTTGGTTTTTTAATATAATTTATAATTTTATATATGTTATGTCTGAATTTCAATATTTAATTATGTCTCTTAGAAAATCTAGACAGACCCCTGGAAACCCTACTTGGTTTAAGACGTTATGAATTAGATTACAAATTTTAAATAAATGTTGGTATGAGGAAAAGAATTGACTAACTGACACTGGTTATTTTTTTTAGTTATTTATTTCTCGATACCAAACTATAAATATGAAGGAACTTTGTTAAAGATATTTACTATCTAAATTTCCATATTCTATTCTCCCGGGTGAGGAAGGCATACAGATATATTCAAAATTTTAACTGTTTTAATGGAGAATCATATTTTATAAGCAAACATTTTTATTTATTCTTGATACTTAAGTTTGATACTTGTCTAGCTATGAAGCGTCTTTTAAGACTAATATGCATTGTTATTTGATAAATTAGTTGCTAACAAAATTATTATTTAATAAATTAACTACTTAACTGTTTTTCAAGTAATTTTTTTCAAAAAAAAAGGATTTTTAGTTCTTATGCATTTTTATTCACCCACTTCCTTTTTTTTTTCTCTATGAATTTCATGCTTGTTTAAAAATTTTAATTCAAATCTGGTTATTAAAAATACTACATAAAATAAATTCACTTTGTCACATTTAAAAAGGGGAAAAAAGTGGTAAAATTATTTTGGACATTTATTGTTTGAGACGTGAATTGCATTTGAATGTCATCTGTTCTAGATCTCGAATGATTTTAACACTGCATGTAAATAATAATAATTGTTATTACAGGTTGCTGATGGCCAGCAACAGATCATCTACTTCACAGAATCTGCTGTTGATTCAGCTCATCAAGCTGCAAACAGTGTCATTGACAAACTTGTTGAAAAATACCATCAGAGAAGATTGGACAACCTAAAAATAGAGCACGAAGCCATTCTTCAACTGTACAAAGATCAGTTACTTCTATCACAGAGAGAGACTCAATCAAAAGTAGAGGCAGATTCAGAAAAAGCTCAGTACGAGAGAGACGAGCACGAGGCTAGGTTAAGATTCATGCAAGAAGAACACAACGCTAGGTTAAAGGCCATCGAGGAAGAACATAATGCTAAATTGAGGGCCATTGAACAAGAATTAGTGTTTTCACAGCAAGAATACGAGAAGAAAATGCGCTTGCTAGATGTACAGTTATCATCGATGAAGTAGCCTCATTTGTTGTTGCCATATTATGTATACATTTTACAGACGACTGACAGTTCACCAATATTTGGTGGCATACATTTTGTACAAAAGATAAACCATATTTCCATTAAGATAATGGAGAAGATATCATTGGAGCTTAAACTTTCATGAAAAATAATGTATCTTGCCCCTTCTTTTATTCATGGTTTCTCATTGCTATCATACAGTCATTCTCCTTACAACAAAATGTGATTGCATTTATTTAACAGAGGCTATTCAGACTTATCTCCTTTTTTTAAAAAAAAAAATAACGATGACTCAAATCAGTTATATTTTCAACATAAAATATTTTTAAATATTCTTTTCTTTAAAATTTTATCACTGGCAGTATATATCAAGCTTTCAGTTGATAATGTTGCTTTCTTTAAATTTAAGTCTTGACTAAATGTAGTTCTGAAGTGTTACATTTATAAATTTTTTTTATTTTTTATGAATTGGTTAATTAGTATTCAGTTAATGTTTCAGTTTATAACGCTTACATAATTGTAAGAGTATTTTATTTATTGCAATCTCACATAGGTTTAAATTTAAATAATATTGTGTTTGTATTATTAACTTTTTGTATTAGAACTTTTTTATTTTCAAATAAAATAAAAAGTTCTGACTTTTTAAAATTATTAATTTACAACTAATTTTTTTTTAAAAAAATGTGACATGGGCATTAAGAGATTAATATTTATTTATCATAATTGACTATTTTATTTAATAAAATGAAAAATTTATATCTTATCCTAAGTATTGGACATTTTTTCATTGTTTTGCTTTTTTATTCTCCGTTGCTTACCCAGAAACAGTATAATCTTGGTCCTTCAAAAACCTTTTAAGTGAATGATGGATATGAAAGTATTGTTATTTTACCTGAATTGTGTCTAAAATTCTCTCAAAGTTATGTTCCTTGCCTCTATTAATAGATAAAAGTATATTTGTATACTTTTATCTCTTCAGCTTATATTCCCAAAACTTTTTGGTTTTGTGTGAACATATTTATCAAAAAAGCAATTACTTAATTCTTTCAATATTTCCAGTTTTGTTTTGTGACCTCAATAATTATAAATTATTTTTAGTGCTCTCTAAATATTTTAAGTTATTTTCAAAAAGCAATAATTAATGATACAGAATGTCTAATACATAATTGAATCATGATTTTAATGTAAACAAACAGCATTCAAAGAAATTATTTTGCTATTAATTTAGAATAAGCAACAAAAAAAAAATCTTAAGAGTTGTATTATATTAGTAAAGCATATTAAATTAACTTTATACAATCTTACTTAGTATGTAGGTAATAGTTTTTTGCCAGTCTTTAATTGTATCTTTTAGTTAATTGAAATTTATTTTAAAAAAATTCTGAATTTGCCCTTCTTTCATTTTGTTGTATACATTTTTTTTATTATTTTTGTTTTATTGCATATTATTGTTCTTAACCTCAAAAATGTATTAAATCTATCTAAGTTTTAGTTGCAAAAATCATTTAAAAAAGTATACATTACAATTTAACAGTTTTACTTTCAATTGTTTAGAAACTTTTTAATTTATTCTTATTGAAAATATTCTTTCATTTAAATTTACCTTTAGAAAACTTGTTAAACACAAATTTATATTATATTTTCGCTTAAATCTTCTGTTAAAGCAATACATAACTGTTCATTTAAAAAAAAAACTTTTTTTTGTATATAGTTTTTCCTTTTAATTATACTTATTGATTTTTCTGTGCAATTTTATTTCAAGTGTAAAAAGTTTTCATTAAGAATTAATTATTCTCACCATTTTTTTTAGATATAGATTTTTATTCATAATTCACTGAATGCTTCATTAAAATGCTTTACTGTATTTTTCTTTGCATAAGTTTATCTTGGATTTCTATTAGATTAATATTTGTCTTATTTCTACCTGATTTAGAGTATCTTAATTGCTATTTTACTAGTTTTAATTATATGTACTGAAATTTCTCTAACTCAAATTTGATTTTGAGTGTCAAAAAATATGAATTAATCTGTTACATTTTTATTGAGTGTTCAGCCTTAAAATTCCTGAAAAATTCTTTTCCTACTTTTTAGCAAGTGTGACATTTGTTATGTGAGGTAATGAGCTAAACGATCTCGCTTCATTTAATCAAATAAGTATAAGAAAAAATAATTTAAATCAGTAGAAATATCAAAATGCAATGATGCATTACTATTCACAGCAATCATAATTGTGCAAATAACTGAAGTATGTTTTGAGCTGCAATTTTGATTGCTGTAGATATTTTCGATTTTAAGGCTGAACAACCAGTATTTGTTCTTAGGAGAATGGCTGTCTTTACTGACCCCTCTTTATTTCTTAGTGCATCATTGTATGCTGATATTTCTCAATGTTCTTGTCAGCAGACTGAGAGTTAAGTTTGAAGCGAGAGTGATAGACATTACCTTCACGAATATGTTGCACTTTCTAAAAAGCCGGAAAAGAAATAAAGCCTATTCTTGTTTATGTTGTTTCAAACTTTTATATTATGTTTTTATTTCCATTTATTTATGACATAAAACTTAAGAGTTAGTATTTAAGTTTAAATATGTATGTATATCAATTGTCCTTTTTCTTATGTGTTCTAATAGTCAGCTTAAAATATTAGTTTCTTTCTCCTTTAAAAAAAAGAAAAAAATTCCTTTAACTATTTTTAAGTGTAAATAATAATAATAAAAAATGTTGAAGGAATAAGGTAATATGTTCACTATTTTAGAAAAATATCTTTTTTTAAAAATATAATTTAGAGTATAAACCAGATTATTTTTTATTGATAAAATAAAGTTTGTAATGTGAACATTCTTGTAATATATGTATTGTAATTTTTTTAATGTTATTATTATTTATTCACAAGCATGAACTTAGAAAATATTGTTTAATATAATTTCTTATTTTTTTTTTGTCTTAGAAGAAAGAAGACAATATATTTTATAATCAAAATATAATTAACCTGATAATATAGTGAATAAAACTAGAGCCAGTTGGTATTTAGCAAATATTAGAAATATTTCTTTTTTGACCTTATGTTTTGTTTGATTTTTTTTCTATAATTTGACTGTTGCCTTATCAATAGTTTAATTCTTAAGTGCACCTAAATATTTATTCCCCCCCCTCAATTTATAGAAAGAATTTTCGTCCGCATTTTTTTTAAAAAATGTTATAAGTTCTAATAACTATATAGCTTTAGTAATTATCTAATTAAATACATGTAGCTTTCTCAGTATTTTATTTCCTACGAAAAAGTTATTTGAAGATTAAAAAGAAACATTATAACTATTATTTTTTAAAGCTTTTCATTAGTTTATTCTAGTTTGGCAGCCACTGATAATCATTCGCAAAGAAAAGTTTCTATTACACAATCTGTTATTTCTGACTAGCTTTGCCTATTGATGACAAATTTCTATTTTATGAAATACCTAAAATAAATTGTTTCATGCATTATGTTCTTGGCCTACAAATACTTGAACTATGCTAATTACCTGTTCTGTAATACTCTGGTTCACTAAATAAAACCACTATTTTTTTGCATTGTTTCATTTCAATTTTCTTATTTCTGTAAAATGTTTAAAAAAAATTATCAAAATTTTTTTCTTTTTAAATAAATACATGGTTTTCAAAATAATTTAAGATGCAACTTTTTAAAATACTTTACATACAGTATATCTTGATCTTAATAAATGTTCTTGAGGCCTTTCTTTTAACTGGAGCTATGGAGTTGGTATTTGGAATGTTGGACCTGGATTAAAATACTTACGAAATTTCCAGAGCGTATTGATATTAAAATGTAGTTAATGTTAGTTGCAAATTATATATTCCTATGTTCGGTTAGAGTTGTTGTTGTCAGTCATTAGGGCAGAGAGGGTGCGATTGTTCATGTTTTCCACCTATGGCCAAGAATTCAACTTCTGTCACACTCATTTATAGGGCGAACCCATTCATACTTTTAACCTGAATCAGAGAACGATCAATCTGCAATTCAGTACCCTCAGAGGTATGATTTGTTATGGGAACATGGAGAACTTTGTGACCCAACAGATTTAACGTGCATCAGTAATAATTTACTACACGGGGAGTTTTTGGCCGGCTGGGTTCGAACTCACGTTTTTACAAACGCGAGTCCAGCGCCCTGCCAACCAGACTATCCCGGCCTTCATAAGAGTTCAAAGTATTTTATTTTAAGTTGCATCTTATGTTATGACTTAATTGAACAGTTGAAAATTTTAATAGACATATTAATGGAAAATAGAAATTTCAAGAATTTATTATAGGAAACGTATTGATAATTATTAACTAATATCACACAAAGATGAAGATAATTTTTATCTGAATATTAACAAGCTAGGAAACTATTACGAATGATATATTAAGAGTTCTCTTAACGCATTTGTGGTTACTTAAGTCATTGAGGGGTAAATTAGCTATTTTGCTGGGTAAATTTCTGATGCTGATTTTTTTTTGTTTTTGATTGATACTTTCTAGTTTAGTGATTTTCTTCTCAATAAGTTGCTTCATTTAGTGAAGTTATGCATCTCATATTATACAGTTTTTATTTTGAAGGTAAGTTTTTAAACAATTACTTGTATTTAAGACTAGCTAAATACCCATTCTTCGTATGTGGTGGAAAAGAACAATGTATCAGCTCTAAAAAACACTACGAATGCCTACACAATAAAGCTAAAATAATTCCAGTTTCTAACAGTTATTTTATAAGCATCGTTGAACAGCCGACCCAAATATTGGGTCGGCTACTAATGTTCAAACTCCGTAGCCTTGTAATTTTGAACCCAATTCAGAAGACAAGGGAACTTCTGGAACAGGTATTGGGAAAAATTTGCCTTCGTGGAGAACTTTTTAATGGAACAAACCCACATTTGCGTTACTTGGAGAGGAAGACCAGCACTGTGGTCGGTGCAAGCCGGATGCAGAATTCTTATCGACTGGGATTCGAACCCGGTTCTCCTCATTAGAAGGCGAACGCTCTATCCAGTGAGCACGTTATTATATTAAGCAAAACCCATTTTTATAGTTTATTCCATCAAAATAAAGATTTAGGACAGTCGAAATTTACCGCAATTAAGCGATTTTCTCCGGTACTTCTCCCTTTACAGGGACCGTAAAAATCCTCTTTCACTGTGTCTAAAATTTGCCAAAATTGATACAGATTGAAATGGTATTAAGCAAATATATAATGCATTTTATCTATATTTGTACTTTCGGGCCCATTAGAACTGCGCCACTTATCAAGCAAAATTAAGTATCATTGGTGTCATAATGTGACATGTTTTCTAAACGAATTAGTACCATTTCATTATGAATTTTGCTTTGTATTACGTAGTTATTTTTTTAAATTCCAGTTAGTACTTATTACCAAAATTAATTGAGCATCTTTGGCGTCAATAGCTGGTGATTTTTTACGCTTTTCTTTAACGGATTAGTACCATTGCTTTTAACATAGCTCATTTTTAATTTCAATGAGTAATTAATTAGTCAAATAGCGTCAATAATAATATGTCAGTTTTTTTACATTTATCTTAAACGAATTAGTACCATTTCTTCATAAATTTTTCTTTTTTGTGAACAATTTTTTTTATTATTTCAATTTGTACATATTACCAAAATTTAAGTAATCCTCAATGTAATATTTGAAAGAAAGAAAATGGTCTGCAGCAGTTACATTTAAATCAATGGCGGGTTCTGAGCCAAGGCATAGTGTATACGGCTCTACCGAACGAACTAATAGAAAATTTCGAACTAATTTTAGGATCGGGGGTTAAACCTGATCCTCAGCCGATGTCCAAATTTCAGGATGATGGAACAAACGTTTCTTGAGTTATAAGAGGGTTTATTGAATTGAAATTACATACATTTGCTGACTTGTGTGCTCAATATAGGCTTATAAGTCATTGTCAAGTAGAAAATACAGATAGAACAATTCAGAGAAAGACATCACAAAGAATACATCCAGGGTTACGGCGGGATTCGAACCCGCTACCTCCACGCTTAACAGAGCGTTTGGACCGGCGATACCGCTCGGCCAGGGAGGCCCCCGTTATAAGAGGGACACAGACAAACTAACTCTTCATTTTATTATAATAGAAAAGTGTCTTATCGCTTCGTATGTTTTTTATACTTTCTATTATGTTTTCTATTTTTGATAGATTATTATTAATTTCTTAATATATATTATTTAATAAATAGGATCGTCCTACAGGGTCAGTAGGTCACCGAAGTAAAACATCATTGGCAATGGTCAGTGAGCGAGTGGGTGACCACTTTGATCAAACTACGAGATTGTGCGGTATCAGTGCTACAATGTTGAAATCAAAGTAGAAAATGGTACGCATAAGAAAGAAAAAACCCAATTTACATTAAGCTTGTCTTAATTTTGCACTTAATTTGCGTTGTTGATCTTAATGAAACAGGGTGCGTAGTGTTTTTTAAAAAGTGCTTAAAGGTGCTTATTTTCGTTTTTTAAAAGCCCATAAAGGTGCTTTTTTCTTTGGGTGTTTTTAAAAAGTACTTAATTTTCCCTTTTTCAAAATTAATTTTTCTTTTACCGTGTTGATTTTCACTACGAATTATGCAAAAAGACACAGTTCACATTGTTCTATTCAACGTTTTCACAATTAATTCAACTCCAATCTATTTCAGCTTATTGTCAGTCCGTATCGTATGAAAACGCCGTTCGTTTTACATGATTTAAAATTTTATGATTTTTGACAATTATCAAAAAACAATGCAAAAAGTTTTTTTTTTTTTTTTGACATGACAGTTAAAACAGAATAAAACCTTCAATTATCGAAGACTTATAATATTTTTTTAAAGTGCTTAAAAATATTTTTTGAGTGCTTAAAAGGTGCTTATTTTTTGTTGAATAATTTGGCTATGCACCCTGTGCTATCGATGCACAAAATATTTGTATTTTTACTTAGTTTTACTCCGAAATAATTGTGAAAAATTCTTACTAAAAATAATTATTTAAATGCACTAATATTTTTAATGGAAATTAGTGAGCATTTCTCTAAAGTTGGTAAAAATTAAATATGATAGTGAGTTTTTATCACTACATTATTATTAAATGATCGAACTTTAAAAGTTACAACTTTATTTAAAGAATTTCAAATGTTCATCCTCGTGCTCTTAATTTTGTGTATTAGGTTAGGCAAGGAATAAATCGACCTTCAATTGGGTATAATATGAAAAAAACACAACTACTTCGATTTAGTAGGAACAACATATGACGCAATGCTAAACGAATGGAATTTAGTTGTTGTTTATTTAGTTATTGTTATTAGTAGTTGTTGTTATTTGTTTTAGTTGTTGTTGTTTATTTAGTTGTATTAGTTTCAATAACTTTTCTTTAGAATGCAATAAAATCTGGCGAGCAGCTATTTAAACGATCGAACACTTCGTTTGTTTATTTGTGGCTTGAAGTTACGCTCGCAGAAAATGCCGTTCATGGGTTAAATTTAGTAGGAACAACACAACCTGTGACGTAGGCTATATTATACCCAATTTAGAGTTGGGTATTGATTCGGTGATTCGAATCATTGAATTGATTCGGTGGAGCAGCGATGAGATAGAGCGTTTGCTTTCCAATGAGGTGAACCGGGTTCGAATTCCAGCGCTGTCTGGTCGATGCGAATTCCGCATCCGGCTTGCACCGACCACATTGCTGACGTAAAATATCCTCAGTGGTAGACGGATCATGGGTTAGAGTCCCCTTACCGTCATGAAAACCATGGGAGGTTTTCGTGGCTTTCTTCTCCATGCGGATTAGTTCCATCAAAAAGTCCTCCATGAAGGCAAGTTTCTCTTAATACTTGATCCAGGAGTTTCTTTGTCTTTTGGATTGGGTTCAAAATTACTAGGCTACTTAGTTGTACATTAGTAAGCGTAAAACCAAAAATTGGGTCAGCTGTTCAACTACAATTATAAAATAAAATACAAAACTGATTAAGTGATTCAAATCAGTTATCACCGAATGAATTCAGTGATTGGAATATTTAATTGCATCCCTGAATTAATTGGTACTGATCTATCCAGTTAAAATTCGGTACTGTTCAATCAGTACCTGTATTAGTAATGTATATTAGTATCAGTAAAATACAGAATGTTTACAAAATAGTGGAAACGCTTTTATGCTAGTACATTTCATATGTCTAAAGAAATACTTGAAGAATCTTTTTATAACTTCAGAAGTGCTTAGATCATGCGAGAGCTTTTAGAGGCTTGAGGGACCATCAAGAAATTACAAATGGAAAATAGTGTTGTTGAATACCCTATGACAAAAATTTTAGTAAAACATTTGTAACTTGTAACAAATATTTTGGTTTTTATATGCAATGATTGCACAAAATTTCGTAAACCTAGCTTAAATGTTTATGGAAATTAAGACAATTTTATAAAAAAAAAATTTTTTTGTCTTACGTTTTTCTGCTGTAACTTTAAAAATGTTCAATAATACTAGACAAAATTTTTAAAGAAATTTAAAATTTATAAAAAATTTTTTGTTTAGAAACTTAAAAAAATTTTTTTTTTTGAAAACTTTGCAATATATAAGTAATTTAAGTAGTTCATTTATACTGCGCATACGCGTGAACAAAATGAAATATTTTTTCTTCATAATTTTGTAGTGAATCGTATTTTTCAATCAATGGAAAAAATCCGATTTAAATTTTTCCCGCGCATACGCAGTATAAAAAAACTACTTTAATTGCTCATATCTTTAAACACATTTTTCTCAAATTTTACAGCAATAGCTTTGTAATTAATTTTAAATTGCTCGAAAAATTGTTTAATTTTATTGAATATTTTTAAAGTTATGAATAAACAAAAAAAAAAAAAAAACGTCAGACAAAAAATTAGTTTTTTTTTATGAGAATATCCATATTTTCATAAATATGTAAGCTGTTCAAAAACTTTATTTTCCGTTTGTAATTTAATGTTCAGTTCTTCAAACCTCTAAAAGCTTTAAACTTCATGATAAGTGTGAGAAATCGCATAACCTAAACATTTCTAAATTTGTAAAATGATTATCTAAGTAGTTTTTAAGAAAGATGAAAAAAATGTGTTTGTATGGAGGTTTTTACATTATTTTGTCCAACCCCTGTATATCATTATCGGTTCTCAACCAGTGATTGATTCCAACCACCAAAGTGATTTGATTCTATTGATTCAATAATGATTCGTTTTACCCAACTCTACGTCACTGTGCATGAAATAATTTTTAACGGGGGTTAAGTAAAGTGTTTCACCAGTGTGTGCAATCTTAAACTATGCTGGAAAATATTGCATAATACATTACACATATTTTTTACAATTTTATTTTTCAGCAGGAAACTTCTATAAAATACATTCTCCCACTCGTACCGGACGGTGAGGTCTTATACAAAGGTAAATAATACAGAATAACAATTCATACAAACCAAAAACACATAACCAGAAACTCTTACATCTAAAACACTAAATGAAAAAAAAAAAAGTTTGCTGTTTCTCTAAACCCTTGGACAAGAAACAATTGCACGATTGAAATCAATAAGTTTTTCTTGTATCAAAAAGAATATTTTAAAAATTTTTATCAAATAACTAAGTTACAAACATTCCTTGATAATTGCTCACATTTTTCTACCCCATTAGGAAATTTTCTATGAACCACGATTTTGAATTTTCTAAAATTCATTAATTTATCCAAAGGTAAAATAAAATATGAAAAACATTCATTGAAACTTATAGATTGATTAGCAATTTTTAAACGATATAATATTTTACTGTTTATTTAGTGATTTAATATTTTAATGTTTAGTAAAAATGTTTCTTATCTCTAGTATTTATGCATTAAGAAATTTAAAGAATAACAGCGTGTCATAAATCAATTTCGTTTATCTCTTTTCAATATTTGTTTCAAGAGAAATAAGTACATTTTTATGTTTACCAAATAGATTTGACTTACGATTTCGAATCAGATATTAGTCATAAAAGCTTTTCGAGCTAACAATCTTAGTATCTCGTTTCTCCTTTTTTTTTTATGGACAGATGTTAAAACAATTCTTTTCGAATGTTTTTTCTCTCCATTTTTCAGATATTGCAATTTTATAATATGCAATATAAGGAATGGTAAAAATTCTAATTTTTAAATCAGATTTTCCTGAACATTTTCAATATTAATCCAACTTTTTAAATTTAAAATTGTGTATCAAATTTGCAGCGCGAAATAATTTTAATTTTGTTCCTTATGCTTTTAGCTATGAAGATAATTTGTTTTAAAATTGAGATGGAGAACAATTGAATCGTTGAGATTGAGAATTGAGAACAATTGAGATTGCAGTTTTAAAAAACCTGATAAAGATTTATCGTGTGAGAAAAAGAAAACTATCTAAAAATACGTTTGTTCACAAAAGCTCTAATTTCAATTTAGTAACAAAGATTAAATGTGTGGATAAAATTCTGTCCTTTTGTCATCCTTTAAGTCCAATTTCCATAGTATTTATTTTTTATGCATATTAATTGCCTTCATCGAAAAAATAAATCCCGTGAATCCATTATGAAAATCTAAACACTTATTACTTGATGACAATTGTTGTAAGGGAAATTAATAGCAAACGAACAAATAAACGAAGGTATTTTAACAGATATAAGTGCTTTATAGTCTAGTTCCGTAGTTTTAAAGGACCAGTTCAGAGGATTTGTAAACTAGTTCTTTAGAACTGCATAAGTACATTTCTTTACTTAAATCGATTACAGTAGATTCAAGAGACCATTACAACCTAATCAATCCATTCATTTGTTTTATCTTCACATTTCCAGTAAGCAAAAACGTAAACTGTATAAATGTTATACAGTGTCGTTTGCTTTTCCGTAGTTTTGAAAAATTGACAAGAAGCCTAATTCAAACATTTGAATTAGTTTGGGAGAGTTTACAGTAAATAACCTTGGTAAACAAACTGAAAGATTAGGCGCCTCTTACGGTTGTCCAGGTCAATTACAGCACTGTACAGAGTATATGACAAACAAGTTCAAAAGTGAAAGTTACAGCGAAGGCTCATACAAAAGGAGACATTATTTTCTCTTCATACAATTATTAATAATACAGAACCAGCTGCCAATAAAGTTTGAAGACAATTCTGTTTTCTAGAGAGAAAAAAGCAGAGAAGATAAGATATTAGAACTTAGTAAACACACATTGGTTATGTTTTAAAAATAACTTTAAAATGTTAAATTCGAAAAGTAAAATTTTGCTTTCTCACTTTCACAAAGACATGAGTTTCTAAATAATCTCTCTCTGTATACATTTCTTTTATGTGGCACCATAAACTCAAAACACTCTAAAAATACCTCGCAAATTGTCACAAAGAAAGCAGAATATTTGATTTCGCCGAGTAAAATCGACACAATACTAATCATACACTAACAAATTCTATAAAGTCTGGGTTTTTTGTGGATTAAGAATTGTGATTTGCTAGAAAACATTAAAATAAATCCTTTTTTTGGTGATTATGATACTGTTTATATGATTTAATATCTGTTACTTTAAAGTTAGCAGTGCTCTCTTTAGTCTGCAAAGGCTACTTAAGTGGTAGTAGCTTAATTATCGAAATGGAAATTTCTCTGATTTGGCAATCAGCAACCTAGCCAATCACTATTTTTATCTATATATTTCAATTTAAGAATTATTGAGGTAATCACGATTTTTTTTAATTTTTTATTAAACAAGAAAATCTTTTCATGACATAAATTTTACTACTATCTAAAATACTTCTATACACTAGATGACCAGCTTCTGTTCAGCTAATTCATTATTGAAAATTGCTTGATATTCCCAGTAAAAAGTTTCTGCAATGCGATTTTTCCCATTACTTGTATCTACAATTTTCTGAATTATAATTCCTTACAACTTTCATTCCTAATTAGAGCTATTAAAATCAATATAATAAAACTACATTAGTTTGTTTAATAAATTGATATTAATAAACATAATTTCCACTTTAAATATTCTTTTATTAATAATTAACTTTAACTTGCGTGAATATTCGAAACTTAATTTAGATAGTTATTTTTAGTTTTAAATTTCGTTTAAGAAATAAGATTAAATCAAACTTGAAAGTTTTTATTTTTATTTTTTTTTTCCTATCTGTGTATTACGGGTTTGATATGACTTAGATATTTTTTGCATGTTTGATATTTTTGACTGTGCTTTCAATTCAACATTAGCAACTAAATTAAAATTTCGTCAGACATTAATATTATCTGTTCTTGCAATAATATACTAAAATCATATGCAACTATACAGGTCCCTTTTTGCCACGACCATTTGATTGCAAAATTGGATTTTCTTTTGTAATACCCATAGATATGTAATAGCCAACCAACGAACCATTCAGACAAAAAACCAGATTCAATAATTTTGTACGACCCATAAACAAAACGAAACAACATTAAGAATAAAAAAATAAAAAAAGAATTGTTCAAATATTCATTTTTCTTTCTTTTTAATATTACTGCTTCATGGGCATTATTTTTATTTACTTATTTATTTATTGTTCTAATTGAAGTTGTTTTGAGTTGTCTTTCGTTGTTGCTATTGATCCTAATATCCAATTTCCTCTTAATTAGATACATGCAAGTGACGTCATCGTAGGTAAATTGTGGCAGTTGTCGATCCAGAAGGCACACACGAGTGACGTCGCTTACAAGTATCCAATTAAATCACATGGTTAGGTTATCCATAATCACATCACTTCTTCTCAAGTTGCAATTCGATTAAGACCATCATAAATCTCCCAAAAGTCTTTGAAGAGAATATCTTCTGAAGAACTACTCATCCAAAGTAAAATCGAGACATTTTAAAACAATATTTAGTAACCAGGATTTCATTTAGCAAAGAGTTTTAAATTGGCAGAACTTCGTAAAATGGAATCAAGTTTTTCTCAAATTGCCATTGTTGCGCAGAACTGGAAAAGTTCCTTGAGCAACAAGCATGATCAGAGTTCATAGTAGTCTCGCGTTTGAGTGTTATGTAATGTGAGAAATAATGCAAAATAAGTTTTTTTTTAAATTTTTTATAACTTCACTTTTAAGCAATTTAATTTTTTTAAACAAATTTTTCAGTTTGTGATTACTTTGTGAATTTTATGGTCCCGCAATGGACTGATCGTTAAGACACGGTTCCCAGCAGATCACCGAAGTCAAACATGACTTGCTGCTGTCAGTGTGCGGGTGGGTGACCACTTGGATCAGTCTGCGTAAGGACCGAGGGTGGGCGGTATTGGTCCTCGTTAAACTGTTCTACAGTAAAGTGCTCGACTTCACGTGCAGGTCGTCGGGCTACCAAAACGGGGGTGCCATCACGTCTGCAGAGGATCAAAATTGTGATGGCATGTCCTCGGATCATCTTCAGGGATGTTTCCCAGACCCATTATGCAGCTCTAGTGCGATGTAAATGAACTACAACAATTGTGAATTGTATGAGAAAGTAAATGAGAGTTACCTGCTTTAGAAAACTTGAACACGATGATTCTCCCTGTCACAGGCAATGATGCTTCCACCTGTGGTAACTGCAAGTCCTTCTAAGCCTTTAAACTCGCCATCACTTGTACCCCACGTACCAAAACATCGAAGAAAAGTACCATCTGGCAGGAAGATTTGTATTCGATTGTTGCCACTGTCACTCACTATGATATAGCCTTGGTCATCTACAGCAATTCCTTTTGGGAATTTAAAGTGACCCTCGTCGGATCCCTCTGATCCGAATGTTGTTAGACTACGACCATTCACATCAAATATTTGGACTCTATGGTTGTTGGTATCAGTGACAACAACGCGGTTGGTGTTGGTGACCGCAATGTAGTGGGGGTGTTCTAGTTGACCTGGACGACTTCCGAGGCTGCCAAATTTTCCGACGAATGTTCCGTCAGATTGGAACACCTAAAATGAAAATAATCAAGGAACTTATATATTTTATAGAATAAAAAGAAGAAAAAAAGTTTTGCTATATATTTTCCATTCATTTTGTAAAAAGCATAGACATAAGGGTTTTGAAGACCAAGAGCTCGTTCTCGTTTTCGAAGAAATCGATACACAAAAAATTCTGATAGAGGTATTGTTTTAGTAAGCTTTAATTAATTAAATTGCATTCCGGTTTTTGTTGTTGTTGTCTTAGGCCATTAAGGCAAGGATACAATTGCTCCTGTTTTTTAGTGGGGTCATCTATGTCCAAGAATTCGACTTCTGTAATGGGTGGTTTTCGTGGTTTCCCTCTCAATGTAACACAATTGAGTTTTAGTTCCATCAGAAAGTTCTCCACGAAGGCAAATTTATCCCAATACTTGATCCAGAAGTTCCATTGTCTTCTGAATAGGGTTCAAAATTTCTGGGTTACGGAGTTGAATTAGATCGGGTGTTCACGACAGTTATAAAATTAAATTTAAAAAAAAAGTAGATTCAAGAATCGTTGCACGGGCTCACCGCTTTACTACTTCCTTTTTTCTCTCATACCTTAATAGAATAAAAAAAAGAAGAAAAAAAAGACGGCTTTCTGGATTCAAAATTTGAAAGATTAGTGAGCTTTTCACGAGAAATTTTTCGAAGGTCTATACAACAACCAAGTAAATAATTTTCTTCTTTTAAACTTTGTGAGCACTTCGAAAGTATAACAACTAAATCCTAACTCTTATATATGTCGTTGAATTATTTTTTTGTTGTGATATTCAAAATTATTTGAAATCGAATGTAATAAATAGGTAATCAAATATTAAACTATATTTTGTAACCATTTTGAATATTCAGGGAAATTTTTGATTAAAATCCATTTCTTTTAAACGAGCCTGTTCAATGACAGTTCTTCTAAAGGAATAATATATAAAGATAAAATTTACGTTTTCTTATAAGTTTTTCTATGTATCGGATTAATATAAAATTTTATATCTAAGTGGGTCATCTCTGAGTTTCTTCGAATTGTAAGTAAAAAGTGTATTAATTTATTATTTTTAATTTCTTTAAATGGTTTTCGATTATTAATTTTGATATGAACTGTGTCATATAAGAAAATATTTTTCTCTAATCTGTTTTCTCATTGTAATGAATATATATATATATAAAAATTAGCACAGTTTTCTGACTTCGTGATAAATACGAAATAAACAAATCTTATCTTATTGTGATATTTCCGAGGTAAAATTGAATGCGTATATAAAAAGAAACAGAATTGCACAATTGGATTACATAAGCTAAATTTTGAAGTTACGCCAAAACGTGATGCAGTCTCTGTTTTTTAGCTCAAAATTAAAGCCCTTCGTGTAGGTGGTTGACAAATATAGTATCTTTACAAATTATATATATTTTTAAATATTTTATTTTTATGTTAGATGTATCCTCCCATAACAATCATTTTAAGAATAAAATGTTCCATCATTTTCAATGCATTACTAACAGTTGCTATTAAAAATGTAATGAAAACTCAAACAAAATATTTCTCTACGAAGAAGATAATGGTCTCGTTTTTTTTTGTCGGTGCATTCTTAGTGGCCAGAAAAGTGATATAAGAACTTTAATTTTAAAAAATTAAAATTCAGAAATATTAGGCTGTAGTCAAATTAAAGTTAATAACATTGAAATAGGAACCTGAAACTTTCACTTGAAATTTAAATACACAAAACCAGGGATTTCACAATTTCATATAATTATTCCGAAATATTAAGCGTGGGAATAAATGCGAATTTATTAAAATGTATGTTATTTTCTTACTTTTTAACCACTTTTTAAATTTTTTAAGGACTGCCTATACCTGTCACCAAAATATACATAACTTTCTCTAATGTTCCTTACATATACTAATTAATGTAATTCTGCATGCATTATAAATGTAGACAATCCTTGTGAAATTGTTTTGAATTCTGTTGTACGGTCACCCATAAAGTAAAGAATATTGTGCGCACAATTCAAATCTTTGAAAGGGATATAAGTTTTTCATTTTCATTTTATCACATCCGCCCTCGCTGATTGTGATTTGTTAAATTTTGATTGCAGTTCTTGTTTTTTCTTCACGTAAATATTAGTTTGTGACCTCCATTTGTGTAAGATTTTGTCTTCATTTTTGAGAGGGAGTTTAAAAATACAGTTTAAGAATAGTCTTCACGGAACATTTTGTATATTTGAATGAATCATTTTGCATTCTTCAGTCTGTCTAAAAGTAATAATATCTGCAGGACCATATAACTAATTCTAAAGTTTAAATAAAATGTTTTTAGGGTACATTTTATGCCAGAAATAATAAAATTGAAGTGGGATCAGTGATGAATTCAGCGATTGTGTATCGCTTCTTAAACTAGAAACAAATTAAAAGTTTTTTTTTTTTTAAACTATAGTGTTGAAGATTCAAATCTCAAATTTGTTAAATAATTTTTGAACTATTATAAATAATTTTTGAATGAATCGTCGGTAGCCCGACGACCTGCACGCGAACTATTGCACATAAATCTTAATTTAAGATTATTAATAATGAAAAGATGAAAAATATTCCTTCTTCTAAATAAATATTTTAAAAACTAAGTAGTCTTTTAGAAGTTAATGCGTTCACAGTTACATTAATTACTTTATTTATGAAGTCGGTTTACCGTCGAAGGAAGGTTGATTTTTTAGGATTCTGTCGTCGAATGTAATTGAGATCCGCTGCTCTACAGCGAGTAGAACGTACTATTCGTGAACGTGTGGGATGCTACGTAAAAAAGAGCTAAAGTTCTTTAACAGAGCACCCTTCTCCGTTCGGTAAACTTCTTCCTTCTGCATAATAATCTATATTTTGCACCCTTCTCCGACCGATGAACGTAAGGTGGCACAGTGTTAATTTATTTAAACGGAAATAAATCGTTATTCTAGAAGAGAGATATGCAAAATCTCTCTATTAGAAAGATTTTGCGCATTTCTCCATCCATAAGCATTTAAAGAAACTTACTTGTACTCGGTGGTTCTCTTTATCACAGACATAGATGAATCCCAGGCTGTCGGTAGCTATACCCCAAGGGTAGTTGAAGCGACCATCTGTCCGGCCTTCGCAGCCGAATGCCCGGAGAAATCGGCCCGTCGGATCGAATAGCTGGACGCGGTAGTTGTAGCGATCCGACACGATGAATTGTCCTATCCGGTTCACTGATACTCCCGCTGGGCAATCGAACTCCCCGTCGCCACTGCCGTAAGTGCCAAACTCAAATGAGAATTTACCAATTGAATCAAATACCTGCAGAAGCGAGAGAAAAACATAAAAACCGTGGTGGTAACTTTTTTTTTTACTAATTAGCAACTAAAACCTCATTTTGAAATATTTCCGGGAAATGATATTAATGCTTCTTCAACTCTTTGTGATATGAATGAATTTTTTTTAAAAAAATACTTGATCATCAAATCATGTTTATTTCGTATAATGGGAAAGAATTGTATGAAATAATGCGATTTAGGATATATTTCAAATACATAAAAAAAAAAAAAAAATTGTTTATTATAAGTGACAGTCAGGGATAAAAATTTCACTATAAATACTTTATAGAAGTCTAGTTTTTTTAAGTTTTTTTAATTCGTCCTGAAATATTCAGTTTAAAATTATCATGTGTCATGTATTATAATCATGTATTCGTTAAAATTAAGTATTTTTACAAAAAAAAAATTTTTTTTTCAATTCCTCCCACGAAACTCATCACAATGATGCTACTCATTATCAAATCATAAGTCTTATTAAAATAATTAACATTGTTTTAAATTTAAAATGTACTTGTAGTCGTATTAGTCAAGTATTAATTTCATGACATTTGTATTATCCTTAAAACTTTGCCAAGGAATCAAATATCATTACATAACGGATGAATTAAAACTGATTTTGGTTTATTGAAAGAAGTAATAAAGTGCTTCCATAAACTTATTTGAGCTATCAGTTAAAGTAGCTTATAGTTTCATGAAGCAGTGACATAATTGCTTTTCTGCTCTTGTCTTGCTTGAAAAGAAAGGAACTAAATGTTAACAGGTTTATTGAAAATCTCTGTCACTGAAGAAACATAAGTTTAATCTTATAAAATAGCTTGTTTTTTTTTTTATTAAAGTTAAGCGTTTTTAAGCCCAGAGAAACTCGAAATTTTACAAATTTAAAAAGGCGGATCAGGTTAGTTTTTTTATTTTTAAAATCAAAATAAACCAGCTATTTGTAGAATATAAATATCTGATAAAGTTGTTCGTTATTTTTTATGTTGAAATTTCAAAAACTAATTGAATTGTCTCTTTTTGGGGAAATGGAATTATGAAAACCAAATCCATGAAGATCAGAATAGGATATTTTGAAAATACTTATACGTCATTTGAAAGAAGAAACTGTCCTGACAATAAGTTTCAATTGAAAATTTTTTCTGATTTTTTCCTTGGCGAATTTTTAAATAAACACGAAATATTTAGCTTCATTATATTAAAAATGTACGGAAAAAAATTCTTTGAAAACCTCTTCAGCCTATTTAGCTCATTTCTGAGCTCATTCAGCCTATGTTTTATTGAAATTCAATGTTTTAAGAAAACCACCTAGATATCTTTATTACAATAGGTATTCTTGTGGCTATCGGAAATAATTGTTTCTTGAAATAATTTGGTTACATTCCCAAGACTGTTTGGTTTAACTAAGAATCTTTTGTAAATATAGATGGTAACTTTTAGGATTAATTAGTAAATAATCGTTGACCTTTAAAATTTCTTATGATTTCATTAACCTTCTAAAATTTCATTCATAGTATAGTGAGGTTTTAGTGTTTGTGGAGAATTTTTGTATGTTTCATAATACTTGTTTTATTTATAAAATAACTAGCAGCACCATGGTTTTATTGCCCAAATTTTTTTAACTTAACAAACTAGTTCACAAGTCCTGATTAAAATAATATCCTTTATGTGTGGTATAAAACAGGAATTTATTAATTGAGTTATTTATTCCAGAAATACAAGTGTAATTCTATATTTTAAGCGAAACTTTGATTTTGAAACTTAGTTTAAATTCAAATTTAGTTTTAAATGTAAAAACAATTATTACGAATTATGTTTTAGTAAGTTCGAGTTAAAAAAGTTTTTCTTGTTGGCATAATGTTTGAAATCTTCATGAACAGTATGTAAAGAAAAAACAACATAAAACCTGCTTTAAAAAATCATGAAAAATCTCAATCTTTAACAAAACATTTTCACCCGAATTTTAGAAGATTTAATTAATTAAAATATATGCTTATTGTGTGTGTGACATAAAAGTGTAAATTGGAATGTTATATAAATTAGAATGCATGTTTATAACGTTGAAATGTAAATTGGAATGTTACATTAATTGATATGTATGCTTATAACGTTAAAATGTAAATTGGAATGTTACATAAATTGGTATGTATGTTTATAATGTTAAAATATCATTTGGAATATCACATAAATTTGTATGCATGTTTATAACATTACATGTAAATTGGATTGTTATAATTAATTTATTAAAATTTATAATTAATTTATTAACGTTAAAATGTAACGTTGAAATCTATGTTAGTTTATGTAATTTGGAATGTTACAAAAATTTGTATGTATGTTTATAACGTTAAAATGTAAATTGGAATTTTACATAAATTTGTATGCATGTTTATAACGTTAAAATGTGTATTGGAATGTTAAAATAGATTGGTATGCAAATTTATAACGTTAAAATGTAAATTGGAATGTTACATAAAGTTTTTACTATTCATGTTTATAACGTTAAACTGTAAATTACGTGAAAACAGTTAAATTGATTTAACTGATTTCATTTAATTCTTTTTAGCCATTTAGAAATATATTTGTTACTGCAATTCATTTATGTAATATACTATTCTTTTTAGTTAGCTGATACATTTTTTTAAATTTGTGTATGTGTCCAAGGAATATTATTAAAAACAAGACTTGTGTAATAGAGCAGCCCGATAGCTATTAGCTGCCATGTCTCAAGGCAAGTAAGAAGCAAAATAAGAAGTTAGGAAGTGTTGCGAGAAAAGATAAAGACAGATTCCTTACGATGTTTTGTTAATAAGGTTAGAAACTGTTCCTTTATGCTCAAAAATTATTTAAAGTTCCACCACAGTTTTGTTTTTCTGTGCTCTTGCACACATACACATTCATAAAGCAAAGAATATATGCATTAGAAAGAATATATGCGTTTTATATGCATTAGAAATTATTCAGCAAGCAATGCATGAATAAATAAAACAAAGAATTATGCATTTAGAAGATTGTTGTCTTTGAATGTTAAAGTATCAGAATACTCTTCAATCAGATTTTTTATATAATGAATGTTAATGGAAAAATCGGAACGCAGAGATCTATAAGATGCATGATAAATAAAAATATATTGATATCGATTTATTTGTCATAGAAAAATTGTCTTGCTATGTTTTATTTATTTTGATTAAGTATACTTTAATAACTTCCAACTATTACGAGATTTTATTTTTATCCTTAACCCTTTGACGCTGTTAGGACACCAGTTCCTCTTTAATATACGTTGTTTTCTGACGATTTAATTACAATCAAAAATATATTTTGGCATTTTTTAATTTTAAAAATATCTGTTAGATCATAAGAATTATATTTATATAAGAATAAAAAATTTTTTTAAGAAAAAGTGCAGTTTGAAATTTTTTTTCATTCAGATTAAAAAATTAATCAATAATTGATTTTGTAAATTAAAGAAATTTCAAAGATTAATTACTGTTTTTCTTAGATATGAATAATTTCAAGTTTAAATTTGAAAACTGATTGTTTGAAAGTGAGCCGTATTTGGAAGATTTAACCTTTAACACAGACACCGATTTTTCATGCCGTATATCATTACCATAAATTAATAAAATGCTAAACATAATATTTTCTCTGATTTTGACCTACATTTTATGTAAAATAATGAAAAAATTACGAAAAAAAATGTTTAAATAAAAATTTTACGTCAAAGGGTTAAAGTGAGAGCAAATTTTATGCATTTCTCGTAAGTTTTTAGATTTATAAATTTCATTTAAAAGGATTTTGAACTCCACTACATTTAAATAAATTAACTATATAAATAAATGTATAGTATGAATATAATAGTGTGGTGCTTTATCTAAGTAAAACGAAAATAACATTTAAATTATATTTTTAGATAAATATCTTTGTCTAAAAATATAATTTAAATGTTATTTCATTATGATTGTGTAAATATAAACTAATTGACTTTAAGAGAATAAAAGTTGGCAGATATGTTCTATTTAATAACAAAATAAATAAATAAATAACAATTTTAATTAAAAAAAAATCTTTAATAAAACGACTTATTTTCCGGTTTTAAGTTTTTGTTTTTCAATAAAATAAACTACATCGCACTGCTTTTTAAATTAAAATTTTTTTCTATATTAATGCATTTTAAGTTGTGCAAAATTTAGAAGCTAGCTTTAATACATTTTTTTCCTTAAATATGAAAATGCAGAGTTTCTTTTTAATACTTTAACATTAGAAGACATGCTATGAAATAATAGAAAGATGAAATTATATCATTAGGTTAAATATTGAAAGAAAAGTAAAATATTAAATTAAAAAGACATGGCAATTTCTAAATAAGAAGTTGTTAATACAATAATAATATTATAATAATATGACACCAATCATTATTATAAATATTACATGGTTTTAAATATTCTATAGATTCTTTAAAACTTGATTTTTTTTTCAGATCAGTATAAAAGTTATGTTGTTTTGTTGTGGCAACATTAAAGATTAATGTTATATTTCAATTATAGTAAAATTTTTAAAGCTGATTATTATATTTTTAAGAAAGCAGTTGGTTTTTTTAAATTTATTTATAGAAATGATTATTTTGTAAGCTTATATTCTGATAAAAATATTCAGATATATTCATGATTTTTCAAAGCACTTTCAAGTAGTTAATTTCATAACGAATAAACATTTATAATGATTTCTTGCGGTAGCAACTACATTTTTCACTGGGGAATTTAAAATGGCCTTTAATTATGAAAAATCATGATCAGTCCTTTTCAAAATCGTACTATTTTCTTCCACACAATTCTTTTAAATTGCAATGTACTCAGAAACACTCGATTCATCTTAATTCTTCTAAAACCGAATTCATTTTTCAGAGTTTGATTCTCATGGGTATTAAAAATTTGAAAACGTCGAGCAATCATCGATATTTCAAAAGATTTGTTACAACCAGTACATATTTTTTTTCAAAGGAAATATAAACACACTCGAATTTAATTTTGCTAATAAACTTAACATTAAAAATTTAAATATCTGAAATGAAATTACTCTTAGCTCTTTCTTAATTTTGCTACTACTTTTAAACATTTTTAAAGTCAGTGGGGACTCAGGATCAGAAGTAATAGCAACGTAATTAATTGAATATGAAACAATAGATATCACTGGAAAATAAGAGATTAAATCTGGCCGATGAACTCGCCAAGGAGAGCTCTAATGATCCTATAGTAGTGGCCTTCTAACATACAATGAAATCTATGCAAAAGTAAAGGTCGACAATAACAGGACTTGGAGGATTCCCACCTAGTCATTATTGGTATCAACAAAATAGTCCTGGGGCTGCCTTGGAGCTAAAAGGTGATAGGAAGCTGCAGACAGCTATCACAGGACTAACCAGTGGTCATACCCGCGGACTAGCATTTATTTGTTCAGGGTCAAAAGACTTTCCCTGTGTGCTTAAAATGTAATGTTCACCAGGCTACACCTGATCATTTGCAGTCCTGTATGGGGCAAGAGAAGAATTTTATCTTGGAGGGTCCGGCGATGGTGTATAATTTTCTGTCGGTGAATGGTCTTCTGGACTTGGTCTAGCCTTGTTCTGGGCCAAGAGGAATAAGTAACAACAACATTGGAGATTAATAAATTTAATTAATGCTAGTTTCTTAAGAAATCCATTCGGTGCACTTTGAAATTGTCCTGTGTGGGATGATTATTATCTGAAAAGTTCACATAATTATTATATAATTGTGATTTAATAAGATCCTGGTTTTTTTAACATGATTAATGCAGTATCAGTTTTTAGAAATCCTTTTTTTTTTTTAAATCTAAAATTTGTGAAGTTTTCATTAGTGATAGATCTCGTACATTTTACGAATTGTTGAAGAAGTACTCTTCTAATAATGCCAATCGTCAATATCAAGAATATATGTATTATTTGTACAGTTTATTTGCATGGAAAAAAGACAGCAAAAAAGGGCAATTTTTTCTAAAAGTTATGAAAGTACTGATTTTTCACTAATTATCATTAATTATTAAAATTTTGCTTCGTTGAGAAAAGTTTTGACCATGATTTTTCATAATGTAACAATATTTTTTATGTAAAATTTATAAGTGAAATTGTAAAGACGGAATACTGTTTTCACCACAACTTTGAGAGAGATAAACAATTAAATATTTCAATAAATGATGACTTAAAATTAATAAGAAGGCACCAATATTGAAATTTCACAATAAACTTTCTGCAAGATATGCATCTAGTTCTTGTCAAATAGGATTTCTGTCATTGGCTGAAATGCTTAATTGAAAAATTCGCTTACCTGTATTCTGTGATTACTGCTATCAGCTACGACTATTGAGTTATCTGGTCCTACAGCAACCCCTCTTGGCCATGTAAAATTTGATGAATCCGATCCCCTGGATCCTATTTTCATCAGCATTCTGCGCTTTTGCATGTAAGTGCTTCTGGGATTTGAAAAAGCGTAAGAGCTGGATAACATTGGTCCAGTGGGCGATTCATCATCCGATGTCTCACTATCACTTTTCTGGTAGAGGGAATGAGAGCTTTTACTACGTGGAACAACACGACCTGTCGCATTGCTGCCATATTTATTGTTCAAATATTTCGCCCAGCAGTTGTTGCTGCTGGCTGTCGTTTCTGAATCGGACGGTCGCGTTCTTGTCATATCTTCAGACAACCTCTTTGAACGGGACCTGTAAGGTGTTGGCGAATCATCTTCCTCTTCATCATCAACGTAGAGACTAGAATCAATTCCCAATCCGATTTCATGCGAACTTCGGCTTCTAGCTAAAAATGGCCGCCTTCGAAATCGGCTAGGAGTTGAATCATTACTGCTACCCTCTGAGGAAATTCGATCTTCAGTTGGATGATTAGATGTGTTGACAGCAGTGTCTGTGTTATTTAGGCTATGATAGTTTGTGGAAGAACTCGCTGTGCTGCTGTCAGTTGTGTCTGTATCATCTGATCTCTTACGTACCCTTGAAACTGTATTTGAATCACAGTTTACTGGAATCCTATGTGGGGTAATTGTTGAAACACTGCTTGGAACTTTTGTATTACACTCCTCCTCTTCATCATCGTCTTCTTCATCTGTTTCTTTCGTAGTTGGATCATTTTGATCATCTGATTCACTTTCATAACTATCACTTACTTGAGATTTCGAATTTACTTGCTGAGTTTCCGTTGATTTAGAGCCCGATTGTTTGCCAGATTGAGCGTTTGTTAAATTCGATTTCGGAAATACTTGATCTTCAGAATCTTTACTTTCATTCTCACTTTCACTGGAGCTGCTTGATTCTTCCTCTTCTTCCTCATCGTCTTCGTCATCTTCACTTTCTGTCGCGTTGTTATCTCGAGACTCTGCAGTAGTGCCAGTTATCTGTGCCGGTTCATCCTCTTCGTCATCGTCAGATTCAGATTCTTCGTCACTATCATTGTCATGCATTTCAAGCAGTCGTGGTTCTGGTTCAGGAAGCCTTCTTTGTCGATTGAAGAAAGATGATTGAACTGGTTTTGGTGGTGGCTCTGTAGCAATCTGGTATGCTTCATCGTCATCGTCATCATCTTCATCAGAGTCTTCTGAATCTTGTTGACGTAATGGGGTCGCAGCTCGTGGTAGAAGTTTCTTGTCCAAGGGTTTCCGGCACGCTTCACCAGCATCTAGTGATGTGGTCTTGACCAACGGTGAACGAGTGTACCTGTAAGTTTATTAGTTGATAGTTATTAGAATCACTGTAATTTAATCATATAGTCAGTCATCTTTTAATAGTTTAGTAAAAGAAAGTGAATTTTTTAACTTATTCTTGGAATTAAGAAAATTTATTTCTATTGTGTATATGTTTTACTCTTAATATAACAAAAGGAAAAGTTATAAGGTCAAACAATAGTAATCTCTTTTGACATGCCTTTTATTATTAAGTACCTGAATTTAAAAAATCACCAGAACAGATTGTGCAAGTAATTTACTACAATATTGATATCGATCAGAGTTCTACAGTTTACATACGGAAAAATAAATTACGTAGTATCAGTTTTGTTTTATTGGAAATTCTGAAAAGTAATTAGTTACTTTGCATTCATCCATTTTTACTGTTTATAATTATCATTTAATATATCTTCTTTTACTGTTTTAAAAAAGAATAAGGAAATAGAGTTGTTATCAACAATCATTGTCATAATAAAGAGGGCACGTCGTTATAGGGTACGACGGGGTATATTGTTAACAATCTATACTCTCGAGTTAGAGGCATCAGGGCATTTGAGGTAATGACTTACCACTGCCCTAAACATTCAAGACGATTAACATCGGAAAAATCTTCTAGACTACTACTACAGGAAAAGAATATGTTAGCAGAAGAATCAGAACTACCACAGGATTCATCATTACTTGTTGGTTCTAATGCTGAAATAGGTGGCAGGACAAAAGTCCTGCGACAGAGTGGGGAGTAGCGAAAAGTGGGGCTCCTGGCGCCATCACCTCGACAGGCAGATCTGGTTCCATCTAAGCTTCTGTATCTGTTATAATTCGGTCTTTCTTGACCAGTGGTGTCATCCAAAATTAAAAGCCGATTTGGTGTAGTAGGCCTGCTACTAAAAAGGAGATTTGGAGAATGGCGATCGATGTCTTGTTTTGAATCTGGGTTTTCAAGCAGTGAATTAGGTCTGTCATACCGTGTATCACTCTGGTGGCGGGTTGAACCGTATCTGCGGGGAGTGTGACCATCCCGAAGCCCCACCAATTCCTGACTAATCCCCACTGATGCATCTTTATTATCTAACTCTACATCAGTATTTGATACTTGCCTGGAGAACGTCCTTATGTCATTGGCTGGTTCATCAAAGCTGGTCGTGCCACTAAGACGCCTCTTGCTTCGAGAACTGTCTGAGTATTCTGAAGATTCAGGAGGAGCACTAGTAGAATCAATTGATTCAGTATTTCTAACTGAATCAGAAACACTGCTTCTTCGAGATCCTGCAGTAGATGATGCGTCCACTTGAGGAGTTTGAGGTGTGCTACTTGACGAGGCATCAGCCTGCTGATTAGCTTTCTTTTGGCGATCAATGTCATCCTCACTTTGCTGCCTAGAAGTCGGCCTTTTAGGCTGCGGAACAATTGGGGTAGTAACAGCTGGAGTTGAAGGGACTACTTCAGAGTTAGATGATTCTGCCTGTTGCAGTTTTTGTTTTACTTCATTTTGATGAAGTCTTTCCATTACTTTTGGTGAATCAAGCAGCCTCACAACTCCACTCAGTGGACCTTTAGCAGAATCATCGACGTCAAAAATACGTTCTCTCTGTTGCTGTTCGTCGGCAAATCTGACAGTTCGACTTTGATGGGGCTCGGATTCAGAGTCTTCATAATCACGATTATATCGGTTACGATGACTATAATCATCGGAACCATCCCGCCACCGAGAGCTCAACCCAGTATCTTCTCTTGAGTATCGACTCGAAGAACGATCTTGATAGTCATATTCTCTGGACCTTTCACTATATCGTCGATAACCGTCGGTATCTCGTCGATTTCTTCCTAACAAGGGAGAAGTTGGCCTCTCCCTTTCACTATCCATTCGTTGATTTATGTCAGAAAATGAACGGTTGTCACACCTCCTAGCAAACTGAGCAGCCAGCCGGTGGTCACTTTGACTTCTCATTAATGCATTTGTATTAGGAGGCATTAATGATTGCTGCGTAGGAACTGGATTCATGGGAGCATTAATTTTCAGTTCACCAAAATCTGCAATGTTTTTGTGCAATACATCTGGATCTGCTCGTGGTTGAAATTTTATCCTTCTAGCGAAATCTGTACTATCAGAATCATAAGTACGAAGGAAATCAAGCATTTTAAGGAATATCTGCTTATATTCAAGAAGCTCTACGTCAGACCATTCATAATCATCTTTTATGTATTTATCTACAAGTTCACAATTGCTCGATATATTGTTTACTTCAATTTCTAAATCTTCCCTCAATTTAGTGATGGATTTCAATTCGGTTTGAGTATACACTTCTAAATCGTGCTTCAATTTACCTTCAGTCACTTTCAAATCTTTCGAATATCTTTTTACTATGTCATCAATTTCTTCTTTGACTTGTTTACAGTTGAGTTGAAGTTTTTCTGCATTTTTCTTAGTTTGACTCAATGCATCGGATAATCTGTGCAAACCTCTGCGTACTTGATTATTTATTCTGTTAATTTCTCGTCTCAAAATATCTACATGAGCCTCTTTGCAATCAGGGCATATTTTCTTTTCGCAATGCGCGCAACGCTCTACATTGGATTTTTCACTGCACACATTACATCGTTCCATCATAGAAGGGGGTGGTTCCGGCTCTTCCCCCGTTATATCCCTGTGCAATTCGAGGAACCTCATAAGAGTTACATTCGTTGGAAATTGCTGTATCCCTTGATATGGTATTCTGTGCTCAGCCCGGCATTCTGGGCATTTAATTTGCCTACGAGCATAGTCAATCAATCCATCCAAACATGGTTCCATACAAAATGTATGTTGGCATGGTAATAGTTTAGGATTTCTATATCTATCTAAGCATATAGCACAAGTCAGTAACTGATCTAATTGGCTCCAAGCTGATGCCATCTTTTACTATCTATTTTACTTATTCTTCGAATAATGTAAGTTATGGAATATTAATTATTATCATTAAGTACTGATACTATGGTGGGCTTTTCAAGCCAATCATTAAATTAAATTATAGCGTAGCTGCTGATATTTCTTTGTTAGATAATTTAGGTCACCTATTGCTTCATAAGTTTAACATATGTATGAAGTAAAAACAACACTCTGTCACACATTAGTATGTCACACACTTGGTTATAAAATGCAAAGTTATAAAGAAGCGTTAGTTTGTTTGTTTGTTTGTTTTTCTCACAGAAAGATATTGGTTAATTTTATTGAGCAGATTAAAGCAAGCAGTTACGATACGCTTGATTGTCCTTCTTCACACTTGTGATGGATGTTGATTTGAAATAAAACAGACGTTCATGGTTCGCGTAGGCTTGAGCTCGGCGGGTCAGTTTTTTGAATCATTCTTTTAGGTGATGTACTGCAACAGAGAGAACTTTAAGGAGCATCCGAGAGCAGGTATCATATCTGAAATGTTTCAGCTAGCTGTCTCTGATTTGAGAAATCTGATTAAAAGAAAGAAAACATATCTTAGAGAATAATTACTGCATTTAGAGATATACATTGCTCAATTATTAACGCCATTTCTGCACACAAATGAGTTCAGCACTAACGCAAGTTGGATGGTTTTCTTCAACTTTTTGTAACTAAATATCGGTAAAGAATTTATTCAATGTATGAAAAGATTGTCAGTGTTTAAAACAATGTATGAAGATATTAAAGTATTGTAAATGCTACCCATTTTTTCAATTTTGAAATTAGTTCTAGTGCAAAAGAAAAGTTAGATGCATAGAATCTCTCAATCTAAATATATGATGAACCAACTTTATTATACAGGCATCTACTTATACCTGCCCCAGGTTTAAGCGTTTATGTTTCTAACACAGTGATATTTCTCAGGTTTATATCATCGGTTTTTTTAATATATATATATATATATATATATATATATTCCCTCGCATTAATATATATAAGTATGTAGATAAGTATCTATAAAAGGATATTTAAAATTTTTGTTAAAATCAACTAAAACGGAAATATTCCAAAATCAGTATTTGGTTAGAATATGTTTAACAAATTTTGCAAGTAAAAATTTAATTTTCTCAGGGTCAGTTGAAATAATTAACCGTTTTCTGTCATTTATTAGTTAGAAAAAAATTTTATACATTTTTGACCAGCACTGTTCAAAAAGTTTTTTCCCCCTCGCATTAATATTGCAACCCCTAATGTGTCACTCTATTTTTGACAAAAAACCTAAAACTGCATATGAATTAAAGAAAAAATTTGTTTCTCAGTGTTATTATTTTATTCAAATTGTATCAATGATAGTAGTATCAAAAGTTCTATTGATACTACTATACAGCTCTTTTTTAGACTCAAGTATCCAAGAAATATTATTGCACCCAATTTGGAATTCAATAGACGACGTGACTTGCACAAAAGTTTCTACGTAACAATTCATTCTATTTATTCATTTCTTAATGACGATGCAAATGAACTATCGTGCAAACGAACTCTCTTTTTGAGAGCTGACCGATTATGAAAGGGTAGAACGTTTCTTTCGTAAAAGCATAAAGAAAATACTTTGGATCAAACACCTTCTACTTTTAACGCAATGGGTAAAACAAAGCAATCTCACCAAAGATCAGGATGTTGAAACAGTGCTAATTCTATTTTTGTGGGTGATTTCTTTTTTGGCTAACCTTGTTTTTGGATTTCTTTACCGAAGGGCAAATAATTGAATAAATAACTTAGCGGCAACTGTTCTTTGAACGTTTTCAACATCATCTTCTAATTTGTCATCAAGCTTTGCGAGAATAAGCAATTACAATGACAGTTAATGCAGCAGGATAAATTTAAGCACCAACACATGTACTGGCAATTTTTTATCCATAAGATTGTACTCTGAATTATCGTGACAGGTCCCAAATAAATAAGCAACTAATGATTATAATTGGTTAATGATTCATGTTACTATTATGGATTGTAGCTCTTGAGAAAGCAGATCTCGGTTTTAAAGAAATGAATCTTTCACCATAATCAATTAAAAAAATATATATACAGGGTTATTCATAATTCCCTCTGGTGTTTTGAAACGTTATAGTAAAAGAACGAAGACGAATATGGCAAAAAAGAACAAATGAAATTATTCCGAAAGTATTCAAGTTTTAATTTAAGCAGTTGCCAGTAGATGGCAGTAACATGTACCCAGCGGCCCCCACCCCCTCAAGTTCTTGGGCGCATTCATCCCCCCCCCAAAAAAATGCCTGAAAATGGCCAGTTGCTTCTTTTATTTATGTATTTAAAAAAATTCTCTCGTCTAAATTCCCCCCAAACTATTCGTTTTATTTAGTGTAAAAATCCCCCCCCCCAAGCTTTAAGTGGGCACATCGTACTCCCACCAAAGAATATGCTCCCACCTTCTCCCCTGATGGGGGCCCCTGCACGTACCACTGAAGCCAGTTGTAGTAAAGAAAAATGGCATTTACAGGCGGTGGGAATTATGAATAACCTTGTATATCTACAAACGAAGAGTTTAATGGGTTGGTACTAAATTACATTGTAAAGTTTTTAAATTTAAGTTTTTCAATAGTAAAACCTTAAATATGGCTTTCAATTTCTTTTGTTTTGATTATGAAAACTTATAAGCTCAATAACAAAGCATTAAACTTGAAATAGTTGGCTGTCAGTCATGATTAAAAAAAAAAAAATCCATAGTGGAGACCTTGAATGGAATTTTTTAGGGCTCATTAGTCCGTCACTTTTTGCTAGCGTTCTTGAAAAAGATAAACACTGATGAGGACAAAAAAAAAAATAGATGCCAAATCCAGCCCAGCACCAGGAAATATAGCAAGTAATCCATTTTGTGAGTAAAAGATTCGACAGTAGTACACTGAGCGATAGTAGAAGGATTAAAATAGATGACCTTTCAAGACTGGATATTTCTGTTGCAGAACAAATTGGCTACTCATTAATATTAGAATTTATCTTTTGTTCTGTGACAACGCAGAAATTGGCTTGAAAGGTTAAAAAAAAGTATCTAATTATGCTGATTGATGTTGAAATGATCTAGTGAGAGTCATGTACTTCTGGCAAATGTTAACTTCTTATTTATTTATTTTAGGACACAGTTATTATTTATTTATTATTGTTACCTTTGAGCAGAAGATAATAAATTAAAACATATAAATTCTATTAATACATTTTTCTTAAACGCACTCTATCATGCACCTCATATTTTTTTTTTTTAAGTTAGAAAAATCGGTCCATGGTACAGCTGTACTTTGGACCAGTGGATGTTGCTCCTTGGATGGCACTCATTTCGAATTCTGTTCTTCGAAACTTGTTAGTTGATTAAATTTGGATATTCAGGCAACTGAAACTCTGTTTTTCAAGTCACTTTGCATAAGCTAAATGAAGTCAAATACATTATAAACGTAATAGCAAATATTTCATTGAAATATGTATTTCAAACATTTTTTGTATAACTGCATCAAGAACATTAACTTATTTACATTTTGTGAGCGGGCAAGTTCACCAAGAAATATGTTTGTACTGACAGGACTTGTTGCACATACCTTGGATTGGTCTAATGTACATTACTGAGACAAGTCCAATGTACATCAAAAATATATGATTTTTCTTAAAATTTTTTATTTTATCTTAAAGAGAATTAGATTTTGGTACTCGTCTATCTTAGTTCTGTTTTTAAATGTAAGTTTCACGGGCTTCCATTTTCAAATCAAACTGATTGAAAAAAATTACTTAGCTTATAGAAATTCAAGATATTGTTCCTGCACATGCTTAGAAAAACTGAAATGGTCCCAAATATAGCAGATAGTATTTGTTGTTACAAGTGTCAACTATGTATTTATGCAGAAATTCTTCATTAAAGATGCAACTATTTACTCTTGTCCAAGGTACAACACTACGAATTTGTTATTTTGTTTTTGTTTATGGACGAACTTTTCGATGAAATTTAGTAAAAATATCAAATAATGAATCCAAATCAGTTTTGCTTACTTCAATATGCAGTCGATTAAAAATTTTCAAAATTCCGTTTCCTCTCCCCTCAAAATTTACTTATTGAAATTCTGTTGACGTGAAAAAAACAAAAACTTTTTATTACTGATTGCCTATATTTAAAATTAAAACTTTATTGAGATACGAAATGAGGAGGCCAAAATGCAAATCAATGACCAATTTAAAAATATTATCATTATATATAACTTACATGAAATTAAGTCCATGCATCTAAGTCCTTCAATTTGACCCAGATTTATATTAAAGTGTTTTTGTCATGGAGAATAAATACAATGAATTTGAAGAAAATTGAATATTGATTTTAATGTAAAAGAAGCTTAAAAAACAAATAAATAAATTAAATAATAATAAAATTTTCAACTAAATAAATAAATTTATAAAAATTCACCTTGCAATTAAACGCATTAATCAGAAAAGTTTTTATCATTATTTGCAATCTTTTACTACATTAATATCGTTATTCCACCAATTCTATAACTCTTTGAATTGTATATATTACATATCTTAGATATTGACATGATTATATATATATATATATATATGTTATCTTAGTTCTGTTTTTAAATGTACGTTTCACGGGCTTCCATTTTCAAATCAAACTGATTGAAAAAAATTACTTAGCTTATAGAAATTCAAGATATTGTTCCTGCACATGCTTAGAAAAACTGAAATGGTCCCAAATATAGCAGATAGTATTTGTTGTTACAAGTGTCAACTATGTATTTATGCAGAAATTCTTCATTAAAGATGCAACTATTTACTCTTGTCCAAGGTACAACACTACGAATTTGTTATTTTGTTTTTGTTTATGGACGAACTTTTCGATGAAATTTAGTAAAAATATCAAATAATGAATCCAAATCAGTTTTGCTTACTTCAATATGCAGTCGATTAAAAATTTTCAAAATTCCGTTTCCTCTCCCCTCAAAATTTACTTATTGAAATTCTGTTGACGTGAAAAAAACAAAAACTTTTTATTACTGATTGCCTATATTTAAAATTAAAACTTTATTGAGATACGAAATGAGGAGGCCAAAATGCAAATCAATGACCAATTTAAAAATATTATCATTATATATAACTTACATGAAATTAAGTCCATGCATCTAAGTCCTTCAATTTGACCCAGATTTATATTAAAGTGTTTTTGTCATGGAGAATAAATACAATGAATTTGAAGAAAATTGAATATTGATTTTAATGTAAAAGAAGCTTAAAAAACAAATAAATAAATTAAATAATAATAAAATTTTCAACTAAATAAATAAATTTATAAAAATTCACCTTGCAATTAAACGCATTAATCAGAAAAGTTTTTATCATTATTTGCAATCTTTTACTACATTAATATCGTTATTCCACCAATTCTATAACTCTTTGAATTGTATATATTACATATCTTAGATATTGACATGATTATATATATATATATATATATATATATATATATGATTTTTA